AATACGGACTTTCAGCTCCCTCCAAAGATTTTCTATTGGGTTAAGATCTAGAGACTGGCTAGGCCACTCCAGGACCTTGAGATGCTTCTTACGGAGCCACTCCTTAGTTGCCCTGGCTGTGTGTTTCGGGTCGTTGTCATGCTGGAAGACCCAGCCACGACCCATCTTCAATGCTCTTACTGAGGGAAGGAGGTTGTTGGCCAAGATCTCGCGATACATGGCCCCATCCATCCTCCCCTCAATACCGTGCAGTCGTCCTGTCCCCTTTGCAGAAAAGCATCCCCAAAGAATGATGTTTCCACCTCCATGGTTCACGGTTCGGATGGTGTTCTTGGGGTTGTACTCATCCTTCTTCTTCCTCCAAACACGGCGAGTGGAGTTTAGACCTAAAAGCTCTATATTTTTGTCTCATCAGACCACATGACCTTCTCCCATTCCTCCTCTGGATCATCCAGATGGTCATTGGCAAACTTCAGACGGGCCTGGACATGCGCTGGCTTGAGCAGGGGGATCTTGCGTGCGCTGCAGGATTTTAATCCATGACGGCGTAGTGTGTTACTAATGTTGTTTTTTTTTGACTGTGGTCCCAGCTCTCTTCAGGTCATTGACCAGGTCCTGCCATGTAGTTCTGGGCTGATCCCTCACCTTCCTCATGATCATTGTTGCCCCACGAGGTGAGATCTTGCATGGAGCCCCAGACCGAGGGTGATTGACCGTTATCTTGAACTTCTTCCATTTTCTAATAATTGCGCCAACAGTTGTTGCCTTCTCACCAAGCTGTTTGCCTATTGTCCTGTAGCCCATCCCAGCCTTGTGCAGGTCTACATTTTTATCCCTGATGTCCTTACACAGCTCTCTGGTCTTGGCCATTGTGGAGAGGTTGGAGTCTGTTTGTTTGAGTGTGTGGACAGGTGTCTTTTATACAGGTAACAAGTTCAAACAGGTGCAGTTAATACAGGTAATGAGTGGAGAACAGAAGGGCTTCTTAAAGAAAAACTAACAGGTCTGTGAGAGCTGGAATTCTTACTGGTTGGTAGGTGATCAAATACTTATGTCATGCAATAAAATGCAAATTAATTACTTAAAAATCATACAATGTGATTTTCTGGATTTTTGTTTTAGATTCCGTCTATCACAGTTGAAGTGTACCTATGATAAAAATTACAGACCTCTACATGCTTTGTAAGTAGGAAAACCTGCAAAATCGGCAGTGTATCAAATACTTGTTCTCCCCACTGTATATACACCTGTTCTGAAAGGCCCCAGAGTCTGCAACACCACTAAGCAAGGGGCACCACCAAGCAAGCGGCACCATGAAGACCAAGGAGCTCTCCAAACAGGTCAGGGGCAAAGTTGTGGAGATGTACAGATCAGGGTTGGGTTATAAAAAATATCCGAAACATTGAACATCCCACGAAGCACCATTTTAAATCCATTATTAAAAAATTGAAAGAATATGACACCACAACAAACCTGCCAAGAGAGGGCCGCCCACCAAAACCCACGGACTAGGCAAGGTCAGAGAGGCAACAAAGAGACCAAAGATAACCCTGAAAGAGCTGCAAAGCTCCACAGCGGAGATTGGAGTATCTGTCCACTTTAAGCCGTACACTCCACAGAGCTGGGCTTTACGGAAGAGTGGCCAGAAAAAAGCCATTGCTTAAAGAAAAAAATTAGCAAACACGTTTGTTGTTCGCCAAAAGGCATATGGGAGACTCCCCGAACATATGGAAGAAGTTACTCTGGTCAGATGAGACTAAAATTGAGCTTTTTGGCCATCATGGAAAATGCAATGTCTGGCGCAAACCCAACACCTCTCATCACCCCGAGAACACCATCCCCACAGTGAAGCATGGTGGTGGCAGCATCATGCTGTGGGGATGGTTTACATTGGCAGGGACTGGGAAACTGGTCAGAATTGAAGGAATGATGGATGGCGCTAAATACAGGGAAATTCTTGAGGGGAAACTGTTTCAGTCTTCCAGAGATTTGAGACTGGGACGGAGGTTCACCTTCCAGCAGGACAATGACCCTAAGTATACTGCTAAAGCAACACTTGAGTGGTTTAAGGGGAAACATTTAAATGTATTGGAATGGCCTAGTCAAAGCCCAGACCTCAATCCAATTGAGAATCTGTGGTATGACTTAAAGATTGCTGTACACCAGCGGAACCCATCCAACTTGAAGGAGCTAGAGCAGTTTTGCCTTGAAGAATGGGCAAAGATCCCAGTGGCTAGATGTGCCAAGCTCATGGAGACATACCTCAAGAGACTTGCAGCTGTAATTGCTGCAAATTATGGCTCTACAAAGTATTGACTTTGGGGGGGGTGAATAGTTATGCACACTCAAGTTTTCTGTTTTTTCGTCTTATTTCTTGTTTGTTTCACAATAAAAAATATTTAGCATCTTCGAAGTGGTAGGCATGTTGTGTAAATCAAATGATACAAATACCCCCCAAAATGCATTTTAAATCCAGGTTGTAAGGCAACAAAATAGGAAAAATGCCAAGGGGGGTGAGTACTTTCGCAAGCCACTGTACATTTGTGTTTACTCAGAAATACTCATTCAGATTTAGGGTAGGCCTATACTTGAATTTTAAGTCAATTAATGTAAATTACTTAAAGTACAAATTAGGCTACAGGCGATTCCAAGTAAAGTTGGGAACAAAATATATGTCAAAATTACTGTATTTGTAACAGTATTATAAACAATCCAAGTTGTAATTTTACTTACCCCTCAATCATACAGTATAGGCAGATAGGATAGGCTAGATGAATGGTGGAGAGAGAGTTAGTATTGATTGAAACTCTGCAGGCTTGCGGAGCTTGACCTCCCAGTGAGCAGCTTTTGGTTCGATAACATTCAGGTTGTTACGTTGCAAATCTGGTCACCGTTGGAATTTAATAGCAGTATCGTACATCAGCTTTATCGATCTCCTTCATAGCACAAGGATGTTTCTGGCCCCACCATGTATTGAATGGATTTAGAACAAAGAGGATCCGTCCATATCCATATGTTGAAGAGGAAATGGGAAAACAACAATTTTTTTCTAACACAAACAAATTGTCCAAATTTTCTTGTGTATGCAAAGCCAATGCAATATTAACTGTGAAATCGCCAGGGTGTTAATTCATTTGAAGATGTTTAATTTAATTGAAGGATAATTGGGTTGTGCACAGAAAAGGAAAGAGCGAGAACTAGCGTCCCCCACACTCGTAATATCATATTCCAATATAACAGAGTTGTGGTAATAATTTCCTCTGTTTTTCACACCAGTATTTAGCTTAATTTCAGTTCATGATCTCTTTCATTATTGTCTTAAAATATAGGAAATATATTTAGAAGTAGGCCTAATAACATGCATATTATTAGTTTATGCAAGATCAGATTTTACAGTTAGGATGTCAAACACCAGTCCTATGCAGATCTAGACATTATTCTGCATCCTGTTAGACACAGTATGGAGCTGGATGCCTATCAGCAGACGGATCCTTCTCTTTCAACAAGTCATCAATCTATTTCACACTTTTTCTCAATTTAATCTGCTCGGCAAAAACAGAAAATGTGAATTGTATATGCATGCGTTGAATGACTTGCTGGCGATATCATATCTCTAAGTCCCGGAGGTATGATGCATATGCATTAGGTAAAGTGGATGAGCTGGTACCTTGTGCATTTTTAATAGTGCATTTGCTCTTTGAGTGGGAGAGAGAGATTCTCAAAATGGAATTTGAACGTCGCAGCAGGTTTTGACAGAGTCAGATCTCTATGTGTGTGTGTGCGTGTGTGAGACAAGGCGGAGGGTTTTAAGTGAGCGAACGCACCGTGGTACAGGAACAGATTGAAGAGGAGCAGAGAGAAACACCAGCGGGGTAGGGAAGGAAGGATGGAGTGATGAATATTGTATGGCGGTGCTGAGTTGGCTGGGGCTGACGAGAGGATAGATGTAGGTGAAAGAAGAGTGAGGTGAGGAGTACAGACAGAGGCTGGTGATGGGGAGAGGGGGGTAGAGGGTGGGTTGGTGCTCTGTGGGAGATGGCACCTCTACCGGCTCCCGCTGGCCTTTCTCTGGCAGCTGCTGGCACTGCCACACTGTCGCATCACACCTCACATCTCTCCCCCTCTTTCTCTTCCTCTCCCCCTCTGTCTCTCTAGTCATTTATTTTCATCTCCTTCCTTCTCTCTCTCTCTCTCTCTCTCTCTCTCTCTCTCTCTCTCTCTCCCTCTTCTCTTCATGTCTCTGTCAGTTGCATGTGTCTGTGTCACCACTGATCAGCCCATATCACACGTCATCTATGCTTCTGTCTTCATGCCTTTTCTCTTTTTCTCTCTTTCCAGCGCTCTTCCTCTCATCTCCCTGTCAGTGAGTCGCCCAGGGTCTGTGTGTCACTGGTGGCCACCCTGTCCCACCCCGTCCCTCTGCCATCTCTACAGCACGCTGTCCCTCACAGACATGCTTGTCCACTCCCCCACAATGCCTCACTCTTTCCAACAAGGAGGAGCTTGAGCTAGATGCCACGAGTCTGATTCCCCAAAGCAGAGGCCTAACTTCTACTCTCACCAACTACGGGTGTGTTCCTCGTTCACATTTATGGCCCAAATTCCCACAAGAACTGATTGGAAATTGAGACAGAAAATGATGCACGTCTCTGTTACTAACTCCCTGCAAACGCGCACACGCGCACACCTCCCCTTCCACAAGCTGAAATCTGTACAAACCTCTCCTCTCTGTGCCACTCCTCTCCTCTCGCTGTTTGCCCAGTGACCCCTCTGTCGTCAGGGGTGGAGCTGCTGCGCCTCACCCACGAATGCGTGTGTCAGTGTGTGTGTGTCATCTGGGAGCGGCTGTGTGTGTGTGACACGCCAGCGCGGGCGATCAGACGGCCTGTCAGTCAGGAGGGCCCGGCTGCCCTTTGAAGGCCAGGCCAGGGGCCGACAAGGTGCCGCAAATGGCCTGTGAAGTTTACATACACTGCCCACTGCTAAACAGATTAGCTCTAATGAAGTGTCTAATGCTGGGCCCCCTGCCTGACATAATCCTGCCTGGCAGCCCGGCCCCTCGGCTCACAAAAAAACTGCCCCCTCCGGCCCTCTGCGCTCCCCCTCTCCTAGCCCTCCCCAACCCTGGTTCACCCCTCGCCTGCCCTCGCCTAGCCCTCCCAAGCCCCTTGCCCGCTACCCAAGGCGACGCCACGTGGGGAGGTGCCCGTTGTTAATCACGATGGACAGTGTGTGATCTGACATGCAAATATAGGTCATTGCATATGTAAATGTGTTATTAGGGGGCCGGCATGCCAGAACACATTAGTGAGACTGTGCTCTCAGCAGGAGGCTGTCACAGCGCTTTACGGGCTCATGCTAACATTTGTCAAGCTACCATGCAGCGAGTGAAAGCTATGCCCTCGCTCTATTTCTAGATCTAGCTCTCTCTCTCTTTCTCTCATTCCATTTCTCTCCTCCTAACCTAACACCTCTGCTCCTCCACTCCTTCTGCTCTTCTTTTTCCTTCTGCTTTTCTCTGTGTGAAAAACACTGTAGTGACCACTGTTTCTCTCTCTTTGCTCTCTGCTTTTGACCTTGGACAGGGTTCAATCAGTATAACATCTGTATAAAATGGTATTTAAAAATCATGTTAAACACTATTATTGCACACAGTGAGTCCATGCAACTTATTATGTGAATTGCTAAGCACATTTTTACTCCTGAACTTATTTAGGCTTGCAATAACAAAAGGGTTGAATACTTTTTGACTCAAGACATTTCAGCTTTTCATTTTTAATTAATTTGCAAACATTTCTAAAAACAATATTCCACTTTGACATTATGAGGGTATTGTGTGTAGATCAGTGACACAACATCTAAATATAATCCATTTTAAATTCAGGCTTTAACACAACAAAATGTGGAAAAAGTAAAGGGGTGTGAATACTTTCTCAAGGCATTATAAAAACAATCTATTCATACTAAGAGGATACAGTGCTATAAAACGGTAATAAATAACAGTAATTTACGATCTATCAGGGAGTAACGAATTACAAAAGAACTAACTGTAATCCGTTATGTAACCAGCAAAAATATTGTAATCAGATTACAGATACTTTTCAAACACTCAATGATCGCTTTTAAATTCAGCAAAAAAAATTGGGGGGAAAAACGGTCACCTTTCTGTTCTCTCAATGACATTCAAATCAGCATTGGAAAAAAGTGCACGTTTTAAGTTTGTTCCGCATGAGCGTGTCTGACAAAAAGACAGAGACCACTATCATGACACACCAAATGTGTTTGATGGATCGGGGGAAAAAGCAGGAATAGGCTTTTGTAGGCTGCAGTCCAAGTTATATCTTCCAATGGTCTGACTGCTGTTGACATCCAAAGATGATCCAACTTGTATAAACGCTTGGAAATAAGGACGACAGCAGTGGTGTAACCTACGGGCGATACGGATATCACTTATTGATATCTACATAGCTCATTGATGTGAATTGTGGTTGTTGTGGATGGCTGTTCACAAATGTAGATGTGTATTTTAACTCAATAATGGTTGAATTGAAGAAGTTTAAGCTGCCTATCAATCATTGTTTTGCGACCAGTGGGCAGCCAGTGAAAAATATGCTCTTGCGACAGTGCGGATCCCAGCCTATGGAATAAAAGTTTGATGGAGTTTCTACCTTCTAAACTCCTCCATGGTATTGTGCTCCTTACTCTCAAAAACGAGTTAAATTTTTAATTTAAGAAGACCACAAGTGGGGCTTTTATTGCTCAATATCAATTGTGCTGATAAAAAATACATAAATCCTTAGGCCTAACGGACACAAGCTTAAGGAGCGCAGCTGTTGTTGCTCGACCACGAGATAATTTGCGACCATTCAATCTTCAGTCTGCATAGTCAATGTAGCAGATGCAACAATACAGTGGCTTGCGAAAGTATTCACCCCCCTTGGCATTTTTCCTATTTTGTTGCCTTCCAACCTGGAATTAAAATGGATTTTTGGGGGATTTGTATCATTTGATTTACTCAACATGCCTACCACTTTGAAGATGCAAAATATTTTTTACTGTGAAAAAACAAAACAAGAAATAAGACAAAAAAACGGAAAACTTGAGCGTGCATAACTATTCACCCCCCCAAAGTCAATACTTTGTAGAGCCACCTTTTTCAGCATTACAGCTGCAGGTCTCTTATGGTATGTCTCTATAAGCTTGGCAAATCTAGCCACTGGGATTGTTGCCCATTCTTCAAGGCAAAACTGCTCCAGCTCCTTCAAGTTGGATGGGTTCCGCTGGTGTACAGCAATCTTTAAGTCATAACACAGATTCTCAATTGGATTGAGGTCTGGACATTCCAAGACATTTAAATGTTTACCCTTAAACCACTCGAGTGTTGCTTTAGCAGTATGCTTAGGGTCATTGTCCTGCTGGAAGGTGAACCGCCATCCCAGTCTCAAATCTCTGGAAGACTGAAACAGGTTTCCCTCAATAATTTCCCTGTATTTAGCACCATCCATCATTCCTTCAATTCTGACAAGTTTCCCAGTCCCTGCCGATGAAAACCATCCCCACAGCATGATGCTGCCACCACCATGCTTCACTGTGGGGATGGTGTTCTCGGGGTGATGAGAGGTGTTGGGCTTGCGCCAGACATTTTCCTTGATGGCCAAAAAGCCCAGCTCTGTGGAGTGTACGACTTAAAGTGGTCCTATGGACAGATACTCCAATCTCCGCTGTGGAGCTTTGCAGCTCCTTCAGGGTTATCTTTGGTCTCTTTGTTGCCTCTGATTAATGCCCTCCTTTGGTTTTGGTGGGCGGCCCTCTCTTGGCAGGTTTGTTGTGGTGTCATATTCTTAAAAATGTTTAATAATGGGTTTAATGGTGCTCCGTGGGATGTTCAAAGTTTCTGATATTTTTTTTATAACCCAACCCTGATCTGTACATCTCCACAACTTTGTCCCTGACCTGTTTGGAGAGCTCCTTGGTCTTCATGGTGCCGCTTGCTTGGTGGTGCCCCTTGCTTAGTGGTGTTGCAGACTCTGGGGCCTTTCAGAACAGGTGTGTATATATATACTGAGATCATGTGACAGATCATGTGACACTTAGATTGCACACAGATGGACTTTATTTAGCTAACTATGTGACTTCTGAAGGTAATTGGTTGCACCAGATCTTATTTAGGGGCTTCATAGCAAAGGGGGTGAATACATATGCACGCACCACTTTTCCATTATAAAAAAAAAAATATATATATTTAAACAAGTTATTTTTTTAATTTCACTTCACCAATTTGGACTATTTTGTGTATGTCCATTACATGAAATCCAAATAAAAATTTATTTAAATTACAGGTTGTAATGCAACAAAATAGGAGAAACGCCAAGTGGGATGAATACTTTTGCAAGGCACTGTATGTTGATGACAACGATGCTGCTTTCCACTTTGCTTCTTAATATAAATCCACAAGCGTTCTATAATGACACTATTAGTTTGTGTATCTTACTGTCTGCAAACAGCTAGTTTGTCTTTTCTTAGCAAGTTGTGGCAAAAAGAAATAGTGTAAGACACTAACGTAAATCGTAGCTAGGTAAATACAGTGCTATTGTAGGCCTAAATCAGCATGTTTGTGCAACAGCATTTTCTAAATCAGAAGAATAGGTAAGCATGAATATGTTAGCTACATGATGTAAGAGAAAATATTTAATGTAGCCAAACATTATAGGGTCCCACTCCCCTGGGATAGCCTGTCACAATAAATCATCCATAGAGATTCTATTAGTATTCTAATTCCTAATTCTATGAACGCCTCCCTGTCTTTTTCAATCGTTGTCATGTCAAGCAACACTGTATTCAAAGTGCACACTATTACATTCTAACTATAGAATTAGAATAATTTATATTTCCATGATTCCAAAAGTTCACCCAAGTGTTTTGATTTGCTTAAAAATAAGGGCTCTATTTTTTTTTGCCCATATCGTTCAGCCCTACGTAGCAGTGTGTAAATGATCTCAAATGAGATCAACTTTTTGTTGAAGTTACTTTTATACTGTTCAGTCAATCAGAATGGAGAAAGCCCCATTTGAAATGACTTGGCATTAATGTGTTGCCAGCCTATGGTCATGCACAACTCATAAAGCACATTTAGAAGTTTTGTTATTCAAAAACACAAAATGCCGTCAAATACCATCAAAAATATGAAAGATATTGTGATATGATATTTTGGCCATATCGCCCAGACCTAGAACCTCTTCTGTCGTTGCCACAGGTCTGTTTTTCTGTTCATGCGAGCTTTGTTTAATGGTGAAACGGATCTGAAGTGAACACATCTAAAGATGCTCCTTGCCTCCATCCATCATGACACTGTGCTCTCACCCTCCTCTCATCTCCTCTCCTCCTCCTTCCCTGAGTCTGCCTGCCTGTGAGGCCGTCCCCGGGTCGTAGTCGGGGCCAGGCACCGGTGAAATGTGGCATTGTGATATCTGTCGCCTCCTCTCTCCCTCCACCACACCAACAGACACGGTTACAAAATGGCTGCAAAGGTCACGCCCTGCTCTGTGTGTTTTCACACATCACAACCCCAAGGCTCATTCAAGCCTGTTTTCTTAGCTTTTTAATTTTAGATGTTCACTGGCGAGCCGAGTGTCAGGGCGCCACATGCATCCCTTGGAAGAGGAAAGCACCGTGGGGGGGGTTTGTCGCTAGCTGGCTGGTCCAACATAAGTCACTTCAAGTGCAGCAGCGTGATGTGCCATGGCAGACTACAGCACAGACACACACTCTAATTATTGGCCTCGTTGGACTTAGTAATGACCTAATAAGATGTAGTGATTCAGGAAGAGTCCAATTTTTTCTGTTAAAGGGATGCTTTGGGATTTTGAGTCAGATAAACTCGTGTATACCATTTTGATGTCTCTGTGTCCAGTATGAAGGAAGTTAGAGGCAGTTTCCTGAGCCAATGCTAAGTAGCGTTAGCGCATTGACTGGAAATCTATGGGTATCTGCTAGCATTCTAAAATAAAATAAAATAGTATTTTTCACATGTGCCGAATACAACGATGAAGAGTAAAACAAATCAATAATAATAGCAACACACGAGGAATACTATTTAATTTGTATAGATAGATAGATAGATAGATAGATAGATAGATAGATAGATAGATAGATAGATATATATAGATATATAGATACATACAGTACCAGTGAAAAGTTTGGACACCCCTACTCATTCAAGGGATTTTCTTTATTTTTAAAATTTTTTTATGTTGTAGAATAATAGTGAGGCCATTAAAACTATGAAATAACACATATGGAATCATGTAGTAACCAAAAAAGTGTTAAACAAATATATTTGAGATTCTTCAAATAGCCACCCTTGATGACAGCTTTGCACACTCTTGGCATTCTCTCAACCAGCTTCACCTGGAATGCTTTTCCAACAGTCTTGAAGGAGTTCCCACATATGCTGAACACTTGTTGGCGGCTTTTCCTTCACTTCACTCTGCGGTCCAACTCATCCCAAACCATGTGGGGGCCAGGTCATCTGATGCAGCACTCCATCACTCTCCTTCTTGGTAAAATAGCCCTTACACATCCTGGAGGTGTGTTGGGTCATTGTCCTGTTGAAAAACTAATGATAGTCCCACTAAGCCCAAACCAGATGGGATGTCGTATCGCTGCAGAATGCTATGGTAGCCATGCTGGTTAAGTGTGCCTTGAATTCTAAATAAATCACAGACAGTGTCACCAGCAAAGCACCCCCACACATAACACCTCCTCCTCCATGCATTAAGGCCTGATTCACACAGTCACCTCTGAACAGTTGATGTTGAGATGTGTCTGTTACTTGAACTCTGAAGCATTTATTTGGGCTGCAATTTCTGAGGCTGGTAACTCTAATGAACTTATCTTCTGCAGCAGAGGTAACTCTGGGTCTTCCATTCCTGTGGCGGTCCTCATGAGAGCCAGTTTCATCATAGCACTTGATGGTTCTTGCAACTGCACTTGAAGAAACGTTCAAAGTTCTTGAAATGTTCCGTATTGACTGACCTTAAAGTAATGATGGACTGTCGTTTCTCTTTGCTTATTTGAGCTGTTCTTGCCATAATATGGACTTAGCCCTATTTGGTAAAAGACCATCTTCTGCATACCACACCTACCTTGTCACAACACAACTGATTGGCTCAAACGCATTAAGATGGAAATAAATTCCACAAATTAACTTTTAACAAGTCACACCTGTTAATTGAAATGTATTCCAGGTGACTACCTCATGAAGCTGGTTGAGAGAATGCCAAGAGTGTGTAAAACTGTCATCAAGGCAAAGGGTGGCTATTTGAAGAATCTCAAATATAAAATATATTTTGATTTGTTTAACACATTTTTGGTTACTACATGATTCCATATGTGTTATTTCATAGTTTTGATGTCTTCACTATTATTCTACAATGTAGAAAATGGTACAAATAAAGAAAAACCATTGAATGAGTAGGTGTGTCCAAACTTTGGACTGGTAGTGTATATATCTTTTTTATTTTTGTCATTTAGCAGAAGCTCTTATCCAGAGTGACTTACAGGAGCAATTAGGGTTAAGTGGCTTGCTCAAGGGCACACTGACAGATTTTTCACCTAGTCTGCTCGGAGATTCGAACCAGCGACATGTCGGTTACTGGGCCAACGCTCTTAACCGCTAGGCTACCAACCTATAGAATGGAGCTATATACAGGGAGTACCAGCACCAGATCAATGTTCAAAGGTACGAGGTAGTTAAAGTAGATACTGTATGTATATGAAGTCAGGATAAAGTGACTAGGCACCAGGATAGATAATAATACGAGTAAAATAAAGAACAGAGTAGCAGCAGCAAATGATGAGTGTAAAAATGTTTGTGTAATGAATGTTTGTTGTGTCGGGGTGTGTGTGTTGTGTGGGTTTTGTGTGGCAGGGTCATTGGAGAGTGTGTCTATAGTCTAGTGAGTGTGCGTAGGGTCAGTGCAAGATATAGTTAGTGCAGATAGTTTGGGTACCGTTAATTGACTATTTAGTGGTCTTATTGCTTGGGGGTAGAAGCTGTCTCGGAGTCTGTTGGTCCGAGAGCTGATGCTCCGGTACCGTTTGCCGGACGGTAGCAGAGTGAACAGTCTATGGCTTGGGTGGCTAGAGGCTTTGGCAATTTTTCGGGCCTTTCTCTGATACCGCCTGATATAGATGTTCTGGATGGCAGGGAGCTCAGCCCGTGTTATGTACTGGGCTGTCCGCACCACCCTCTGTAGCGCTTTGTGGTCAAGGGCGGTGCAATTTCCATACCAAACAGTTATGCAGCCAGTCAAGATGCTCTCGAAGGTGCAGCTGTATAACCTTTTGAGGATCCGAGGGCCCATGCCAAATCTTTTCAGCCTCCTGTGGGGGAAGAGGCGCTGCCGTGCCCTATTCACGACGGTGCGAGTGTGTGTGAACCATGTTAAGTCCTTAGTGATGTGGACGGCAAGGAATTTGAAGCTCTCGTCCCGCTCAACAAACAGCCCTGTCGATGTGGATGGGGGCATGCTCTCCCCTCTTTCTTCTATATTCCATGATCAGCTCCTTGGTCTTACTGACGTTGAGGGAGAGGTTGTTGTCCTGGCACAACAATGCTAAGTATCTGACCTCCTCCCTGTAGGCTGACTCATCACCGTCGGTGATCATACTTACTACCGTTGTGTCGTCAGCAAACTTGACAATGGTGTTGGAGTCATGCGTGGCCACACAGTCGTGGGTGAACAGGGAGTACAGGAGGGGACTAAGCACACACCCCTGAGGGGCTCCCGTGTTGAGGGTCAGCATGGCGTAGGTGTTGTTGCCTACTCTCTTCCACCTGGGGCCGGCCAGTCAGGAAGTCCTGGATCCAGTTGCAGAGGGAGGGGTTAATCCTGAATGAATGGTGAATAATGATGAGGGAGAAAGTTACAGAGGCATACTGTAAATATCATACCCCCCAAAAAATGCTAACCTCCCCTGTTATTGTAATGGTGAGGGGTATGATATTTGTGCGTCTAACTTTGTCACTCATCATAATTCACGATTCATTCAGGACTATCCATAATCATGGTAGCATCCACATTAATGTAGAAGTGTTTAGAAACATATTCTATTCTTATTTACAATAAAAGTGATTCCAAAATGACAGAATACATTATTTACCATTCATTTCTATTGGGCACAATATAATCTGAATCACAACCAAAACAAACAGCCAAGTTCCAACAAGTTTCTAGAGTCACAACCTTGATGTAATCATTGCGTTCTAGGAATATGGGACCAAGTACTAAACTTTTCACTACATGAATACACATATACATTAATTTGTCCCAATACTTTTGTTCCCCTAAAATGGGGGGACTATGTTCAACCGGCATGGATGAAAATAACGTCAAATTAAAGCTGATAGTCTGCACTTTAACCTCAGTCATTGTAGAATTTCAAATCCAAAGTGCTGCAGTACAGAGCCCAACAATTCAATATAAATGTCACTGTCCCAATACTTTTGGAGCTCACTGTAGTTTCCATGTTGTCAACAATCTAAGCCAAATATATATGTTGAAATATATATGGCAATAGAAATCCTATATGGATGGTGTTAAGAGATAGATGGGAGGTATTGAATAGAGTTGAAGGATGGGACTAATAACAAATAACAACAAATTATAACAAAGATAGCTAATAATGTAAGCATACTGTGTCCATAATAAGTATATAGGTTGTATGTTGGGAGCTTTTGGGAAAGAGCACAGTTAGAAAGATATGGCAATTAGAAGCAAACCGGATGGACATCATGAAAATGATCGGAGAGGTTGAGAGTAGAAGAAGTTCAGGAGCAAAAAAATAAATATATATATATATATATATATATATATAATTATTGTAAAATTAACTCTGTCCATAAGGTGTAGATAGTAAGTATAGACCGGAAGTAGAGGCCTGGGCGTTGTTGTTCACTAATTTACTCCAAGTAGGGAAAGGATGGTGGGGTTGAAAAGTAATAAAGGGGAATATATATATAAAAATAAAAAATAAACATGGGGGATTGGAAGTGATGCAGACAATTACATTGATAGAAGATACAATCTATCTGCAATATTAAGCTGATCCATTCCCCGCCAAAAAAAAAAAATAATAATAATAAAAAAAAAAAAAGATACTAAAAATTAATAATGAACGAAAAAAAACACAAAAAAAAAAAATCTAAGCCAATGCCGTCGGTTTTGCCCCATAGTTGCGCATGTGTCGGTTTTGTTGCTAAACAACAAACCCGTCTATAGGATTCCACCTTCGTCCTATATTGTCCTTTTGCATGTTTGATGTCTCGTCGGAGGTCGTAGCAGGCTTTCTTGTATGCTGGTGGCTCTAGCCTTTAGCCCAGTGCGAATATTGCCTGTAATCCACGTTTTTTGGTTTGGATACGTTCTTACTGTGGGGACGACGTCGTCTATGCACTTATTGATGAAGCCTGTAGCTATTGTGGTAAACTCCTGTTGTCATAAACTCCTCAATACTAGGATGAATCCCGGAACATATCCCAGTCTATACTAGCAAAACAGTCTTGTAAGCTTGTGTCTCCTTCATCTGATAATTTCCGTATTGAGCTCATCACTGGTACTTCCTGTTAGAGCTTTTGTTTGTAAACAGGAGGCAGGAGAATGGAGTCATGGTCAGATTTGCCGAAGGGAGGATGAGGGAGGGCCTTGTATGCATTTTTGGGGGTAGAATAAAAGTGGTCTAGAGTTTTAGCGCTCCTAGTGGAGCAAGAGACGTGTTGGTAGAAGTGAGGTTTTAATTCTCCCTGCATTAAATTCTCTGCCAACCAGAAACGCTGCCTTTGCTGTTGGCCCCATACAGTTCGTTGTGTGCCAGAATGGTGTTGGCTTGTGGAGGGATGTAGACGGCCGTGATAATTACGGATTAGAACTCTCTTGGTAGATAAAAGGGTCTGCAGCTTACCCTGAGGTATTCTATACTGAACAAAAATATAAATGCAACTTGCAACAATTTCAAAGATTGTGCTGAGTTACAGTTCATAGAAGGAAATCAGTCAATTTAAATAAATGCATTAGGCCCTAATCTATGGATTTCACATGACTGGGCAGGGGCGCCACCGTTTTTCCCCAGAAAAGAGCTTTATTACAGACAGAAATACACCTCTGTTTCATCAACTGTCTGGGTGGCTGGTCTCAGATGATCCTGCAGGTGAAGAAGCCGGATGTGGAGGTCCTGGGCTGGCGTGGTTACACATGGTCTGCGGTTGTGAGGTCGGTTGGATGTACTGCCAAATTCTCTAAAACAATGTTGGAAGCGGCTTATGGTAGAAAAATTAACATTCAATTCTCTGGCAACAACTCTGGTGCTTATTCCTGCAGTCAGCATGCAAATTGCACCTCCCTCAAAACTTGAGACATCTGTAGCATTGTGTTGTGTGACAAAACTGCACATTTTAGAGTGGCCTTTTATTGTCCCCATCACAAGGTGCACCTCTGTAATGATCATGCTGTTTAATCAGCTTTGTGATATGCCACACCTGTCAGGTGGATGGATTATCTTGGCAAAGGAGAAATGCTCACTAATAGGGATGTAAACAAATTTGTTCACAACATTTGAGAGAAATACGTTTTTTGTACATATGGAACATTGCCGGGATCTTTTATTTCAGCTCATGAAATTTGGGACCAACTCTTTACATGTTGCGTTTATATTTTTGTTCAGTATATATCAGGTGGGCAAAAGCTGCTAGCAGATACGCATAGACTTCCAGTCATTGTGCTAACGCTAGTCAGCAATTCACTAGCTCTAGTTAGCAACTTCCTTCAAACTGCACGCAGAGACATGAAAATGGTATCCACGAGTTTGCCAAGGACCTCATTGCCAAAATCCTGAATGATCCCTTTAACTGTAAATATGCATAAATAATCACGAAGTTCAATGTTGGTTTTTTGGACAGGAAATATCCATGTTCAGCAGGAGAAGAGATGGATGCTGCTTTATCACACAAACTATTGTAAACCATTCCATGTTCAGCATGCTGGAAAACTCAAACATAACTGCAAGGGAAAGCATCAGCGGTGTAGGCCTACTTGTGTGTGTTTGACTGTGTATTGTCTGTGTCGGCCTTGCAGAAGCCGCTTCAGCCTGACATGGGCCACAACTCTCTGGCTAACTTCCAGATTGAGAAGAAGATCGGGCGGGGCCAGTTCAGTGAGGTGTACCGGGCCAGGTACCTGATGGACAACACCTCCATGGCCCTCAAGAAGGTTCAGGTGAGAGAGCCTCACACACGCACGCACACAGAGCACACACAGCACACACAGCACACATCATCATTTCCCCCCCACCTTTCAAGATACCGAAGGACATATTTCAGGGGGTATGATGTCACCAAGCAGGATCAAAGAGTTAGCCGGCCATATTCTCAAACAACTCCATATTTTCTAGTTCAGAGAAAGATTGATTTGAAATTTAAATTGTATAACTGACTCAAATCAAGATCTATATCTGAATGTTTATCGAAGTCAGCTCACTAACTTGTCAAACTTATTAGTGTACTTGCTGAAAGCAAGACCACTCTAGAAATTGCACATACTTGTATTATTATCATTTGCCTTCTTCCGCTCGCTCTAGTGCTTTAACCATAAATAAATACAATTGGGGGCATAAAATAATTAGCATAACATAATCCACCGACAGTAGTGGTAACTCTTGAACCGTTCAAGTTAGAGACACAAAACGAACTTACACATTTTCAAGCTATCTATTCAATCACTCACTCAATCATCAATATTTCCATCTACCTACTTTTTCAACTATAAGTTCATCCTGCTTTGTGATCATTACTCTCTACTAGTGTATACACGATATACCGGTATCGCGATAATATCACGGTACCAAAATGTCATGATACCAACATTTTTGAATAACATAGTACCGTTTCATATGATACTACTAAATTGTTCAGCCCTACCGATCTAAAGAACCAGCTGGCGCCAGTTATAAAATGTTCATAAAGTCAGTTGTTTATAAATTCAGTTAAAACAATTAAGCAACAGCAAATAGTATGTTGTATGCGCCAGTCCAATAATGTCCACTTCACTTTCATGCGCATCTCAAGTGTCGCAGCTGTGATCAGCCAGCCGCATCCCCTTCCAGCATCACTCACCTGCTTCTCCCCGTCCTCTCTTCCTGTGCATCTATTCCTCCATCAGTTTTTAAAATATGATTTAGCCGTGATGGTGAGCGGGGATGCAGACCCTGATGTCTTCTGTTGTTACATTTGTAAATGTTTTACATTAGAGTAGTGTGCAGAGCTGATACATTGTGTCATTTCATTGCCTGGTATAACCAAGAACACAGGCCAGTCTGAGTAGGCTTTGCAAGTGCAAGTTCGCTAGTCAAAGAGGACAATGGAGTGACAGCTTCGCGACAGGCATGCTTGCAGCTTTACAGCAAAGACGGAGCGTCTCTAGCCCAAAAGGTTAGAAAAATATGACCCATATTACCAGAGCGAACTTTTTTTCTTCCTGTGCGATTTCGCAACGCATTTTTATACATTTCACAAACCATGTCGCGGGCCATTTTAAACTAATCCCGTTGTTCAGTCGTGTTACCGAGTTAGCTAGCAACCTGTTAACTTGACAGTAGCTCTAGGCTAATTAGATTGACACAGGAATACAGGAAAATGGTCTGCTACTCATGAGATTTGCTTCAAAGGTAGGATTTATATAGGCCTAATGTAAGCCTAAACTATATTAAAAACCAATCGCTTTCTGGTGCTCCTTAAATTCTGTTTGGTGCCTAATGCTTTTAAAGTTGGGAGAAGTGTATGTATGTTTTTGTGGGAGAGAGAGAGTGGTGTGTGTGTTTATGAGAGAGAGGGAGACAAAGTGTGTGAGGGAGGGAGGGACAGTGTGTGTGTGTTTCTCTGTGTTAATTGAAGATTAAAGAAGGTTTCATGCAGTGTTTTCCCCTTACTGCCACAATGACATGCAGATCATAATGTATATTCCTTCCTCCCGTTCCTCAAGCCAAATCACAGGTAGGTTTTTGCAAATATGAGCAAATCAACCATTCTATGCAGTATTCTATTACACAGTGAACAGTGTGAAGTTAATTTAGTATGTGTTGAATTGAGTAGAATTGTGAATATCAGTGACAGCTGTTTTGTATAGCACATGCACATTCCATTTATAAAACGGGAACAAGCGTTCGGGGTACAGGGCGAACTGGACGCTAAGCCACTGAATTGTATCACAATATTTTTTGGGGGGTGTATGTGATTTTGATTGATATGATTTATTTAAGTGTCATACACCTACCGGTGGCCAGCCCACATGGGCTTACAAGACACTAATAAACACAGTACCATTTTCCTATTATATGCATACAATAATCATGGCAAGTACAGCTACCATCTAGCCACACTACACAAACAGTGCATTTCTCCTTCTCCTCTAGGCGTTGTGAACAAACAATACTACTCGGTATCATGATACTTGGCCTGGTATTGTATTGGTAGTAAAATGTTTGTATCTTGACAACACTACTCTCTACTATCTCTGTATTTAATATTTAACCATGTCTGTATTTGGGTTTACTGCATTATTGAAATGCTTTATTAAAATGTGTGTGTTGAACAGAGTGCTGTAAGACAAACTCGTCTAACTAGATTCAACTGTCAGTGTTCATGTCTGGCAGTGGTGTGACACAGTCTTAATTTACAGATTCCCTCTCTCTCTGTGTGTGTATGGTGTGTGTGTGTGTGTGTGGTGTGTGGTGTGTGTGTTCTCAGACAGACAGACAGACAGAGCTCTATCTTTAGCTAGTCAACCCACCACACTTTACCACCCCGTCTCAGGAACATCACAAGATGAGGTCAATGGGTTCAGTCTACTGAGAAAAATGCTTGTGATTCTCCGTACATCTAGCCTTCCCTTCCCATCACACACTATCACACTCCAAGCCACTGATGAAGTCACGTTATATTTTAAGAATACAGTATATTAGGATATTATGTCTTGTAGGTTTTAAAATGGCGGTATACATTTCTACACAGAGATGAGAAAAAGAGAAGGAGAAATAATGTTTTATTTAGATCAAGGCCAAGGTGTATTTTATTTTCCATTTTCTCACCTGTTGCTCGTTTCAAGAGTGTAGTGGTGTTTGTGTCAGTGTTTAAGAGAGTGTAGTTGTGTGTGAGGTTGTGTGTGTGTGCATGAGAGAGAGGTGTAGTGATGTGTCGTTTTAATGTCATATGTTAAACAATCGTTTTAATGTCATATGTTAAACAATGTTGAACATAATACTGTACTGTCTATAATGGTGACCGCCAAAACAGCAGCTATGTGGGTATCCGCTTCTAACTGGCTTCAAACTTTGCCTTTGGCTAAGGCAAAGCCACTGCTGACAGCCTGGCTGCTGACAGGGTTGTGTACCACATCATCAGGGCATGACGCATGCTGCACACGGAACGAGAGGGAGAGCTTGGTTTGTTGTTTTGAACGTTTCTGCAAGTTTTTTTCTTGACAAAGTTACTACCTGTTTATTTTGGATCCCGCGACATGGTAAGCCTTAGTTGTTTGGACCGCTACTTTCTGTCCCGGGATACTGCCAAACCCAAAAGTCTGAAGAGCTTAGCTGCTAGTTATTCAGCTAGCCAGGTTTCATTGACAGCCTGAACACAGACCGTGAAGCAGTTTTTCAAATCAAATCAAATCCAAGCCCTTGTGGCTGTGACCGCAGATAGTCCTGTGCTTGTGGCTGTTTAAATCCCTGCTGTTTGGTACTGTTTCCATCGGTCCTGTGAGCTGTCCTGGCTGGAACTGCGTGGAGTACCAGCGTTAGCCTACGTTGCTACCATCATGCTGCCCAAAGCTAAAGAAGATGGAAGTAATGGAGAGGACAGGTGCGTGATCTTTTAAATAAACACAATTATGTCTACAAGCAATTGTTACAGCAACAGGAGAATGGCTTCAAGAGCTTTGTCCAAATACTGGTGGACTCAACTAACAAAATAATGTTTGATCTGACCAGAGAGGTCCAAGACCTTAAGAACAGTTTGCAGTTAGCCAGAGAGAGGTGGATGTCCGGAAAGGGACTTGCTGCAAAATGACAACAAACTCTAGGTCCACGCGAGATGACATCAGCACTGTCTGTGTATCATTATTAACAGTGACTGGGAAAACATACTATCTAGAGGAACAATCCAGGAAGAATAACATTGTTGTGGATGGCATACCAGAGTCTCCACATGAGTCTGAGGAGAAAGTGAGAAAAATTATCGCCGAAAATATGCAGGTCATGGGAAGATTGAGGTGGTGCGAGCCCACAGGTCTGGAAAACCTGAAACCAGCCCAGGTGAAAGACACAGGCTGATAATGGTCAAGTTCCTAAGGTTCAATGACAAGATGGCTGTTCTGGAGAGAGCCAAGAACTTGAGAGGACCAACATCTTCCACAACGAGGACTTCTGTGAAGCTGTGCGACAGCAGCGGAAATAACTTATCCAAGCTATGAAAGCTGCCAGAGAGCGTGGGAACATTGCTTACATCCGCTACGACAGGCTTATTGTCCACCCTCCCTCCCAAAAGCCTGGGAGGAGTGAGCGAGCCAAGCTTCCGGGTCAGTAGCTTTAGCCCAACATCCCACACACAAACACCAACTGACACTCACAAGTACCTGATTGACTGACTATTAGCCAAACAATGTTTTTAATGTAATTTTTTTTTTTTTAGGGCTGACCCCAATTAGTCGACTGGTCGATTGTTTGGTCGTTAGGCTGTTGGTCGACCGAGATTTGTTTTAGTCGAGCAGTAACAAATAAATAAATATATATGTATGTATTTATTTATTTATTTATTTATTGGCGCCCATCTCAGTGAACTAATCCATTGTGGAGGCCTAGACTAAAACCCAATTTATGCTTGATCCAGAAATGTGGTCGGAGGCTCCATATGGAGGTTGTGACACAATTGCGGAGCCTCCAGAGGCATGCGGAGGCCAAATCAAGCTCCATACAGCATCGCCATGCACCTCCCAAATGTTTTTACAATGCGGAGGGCTCTGTATAGCTCCGCATTGACATGATTGGTTGATAGTAGGTGGAGGCGGTACATCCTGTAGAAAACACAAACTTACTTCCTTGACAACAGCTCTGCACTGCTCCGTGAAGAGCAAGAGGGGAGGGAATGGCCGGCAGGGGATGTAGCTCAGTTGGTAGAGCATGGCGTTTGCAACGCCAGGGTTGTGGGTTCGATAAAATAATGTATGCGCTAACTGTAAGTCGCTCTGGATAAGAGCGTCTGCTAAATGACTAAAATGTAAATGTAAATGTAAGTATGAATGCCCTGACTTCTGCTGAGGTCGTATCACCGTAAATGCTGCATGGTCAATGCAGATGTCGGATTGACCATGCGCACAGATGCACAATGCACTTCTCTCTCCCGCCAATTTGTGCACATTCATTGTTTCATAACTTTAATTGTGTGAATTGTTTGCATTTGATTGTTAGTGTATGTCAATACCCCATTACATATATCACAGTACATTTAACGTTAATTCCTATAATTTCTAATCTACAATGTTTGTTTGGTTAAAGTAATTTCTGTTAATGCATTCAATATATTAATATTACAGTCTTTTACCGTTCCCATTGTCAGAGTGGACATGTTGTTTGCAGAGCGCACAACCTATGTTACACTTGTGAGAAACAAGTTTTGGTTTATTTCATTCCATTTACGCGTTTCGTCAATTTAGTAATTGTCTTTTGTTTGGAGCGCTCCTGTCAATGTTGAGTAAGGACGCGCACCTGATTACGCATAGAAGTAGGCCTATAGGCTACCTGGCCTGCGTGCAAATGTAGGCATATAAAGGTGCCCATTTGGGGATCTGATAGTATTTCTGATTGGCTTAACACACCACCATTAATGACCTGTGAAACTTCTCAAAGTAATGTTTTCTTCACCTCAAACAGCAACCAAACAAAGTATTTTTATATCCATTGAGAATTACAGGAGTCCCTCAATGTATTTGAAAAATCTTTCCAGCTCTTTCCCTTTCGATTACCACTCAGCGTGAAAGGGAAAAATGTTATGCTCTGATCCAGTGGAAACTTAATAAAATAGGCCTACCTGATTAGTTCTTATCAATGCTTGACTTGGACTGAAATAGGTTCCGGTACTCATTTTGGGTGCTGGTACAGTTTATATTTAGGTGCAGGAGCTCCACAATACTTTTGAGCTAATATTCTTTAAGAGGAACAGGAGCTCAAGCAGTAGAACATTTGTGCATATGAAAACCATAACTGGCACACAGATTGGCAGAAATTGTAAGATAAATTGGCATTCCACATGAGAAAGGTTGCCGACTCCTCGTGTAGCCTATTACCGGCAACTTCAGGAGAGTAATGGCAGAATCTGCGAAAGCCAGCACGAGCGGGAGGAGAACAGTTTGGTCAGGTTATCTAGATCTCTGGCGCCCTCCTGAGGCATTTGTGTTATTTCATCAAATGCTACGCTTGAAGCGCCAGACCAGCTCAATGCATATAGTTGATTTTATTGAAACACGTTTAAACATTTCGACCAATGGCTTGGTCGAAATAAATACATTCATATATTGGCTATCTCTGAGACTCACTTAGATAATTCCTTTGATACAGCAGTAGCAATACAGGGATATAACATATACAGAAAATACAGAAATGCATATGGAGGAGGTGTTGTTGCATATGTTCAGAGCCATATTCCTGTAAAATTGAGAAAGGAGCTCATGTCTAATGTTGTTGAAGTGTTGTGGTTGCAGATTCACCTGCCTCATCAAAAGCCTCTTCTTTTGGGGTGATGCTATAGGCCACCAAGTGCTAACATTTACATTTACATAATTTAGTAGACGTGAGATTATTTAAGATACTCTTTGAAGAGGTAGGGAAGATGGGCAGGGACTCTGCTGTCCTAGATTCAGGGGGAAGCCGGTTCCACCATTTGAGGTGCCAGGACAGAGAAGAGCTTGCACTGGGCTGAGCGGGAGCTGCCCTCCCATAGAGGTGGGAGGGCAAAGAGACCAGAGGTGGCAGAACAGAGTTCTCGGGTTGGGGTGTAGGGTTTGAAAAACTGATAAAATAACACAAGGAACAATGCGGACTGTGAAGACACACACACACACACACACACACACACACACACACATTATTCTTAGTATTTTGCATTTATTCGTTTTTCTTTAGTATTCTCTTTCTTGTTATTTTTTAAAGTAGTCGTGTTGTTCTTTTGGTTGTGGTGTTCTTAGTTGAGATTTGTCTTCCTATACCTGTTCTGTATTTTGTCATGTTTTGTGTGGACCCTTCTTCAGCAGCTAATTGGGATCCGAATACAAATCATAAATCATATGGTGAACAATTATAGCCTCCAAGGACTTTCTCTCTTAAGACAGGGATGGGCAACTGGCGGCCCCCATTTTGTAGGTCCGCGGACCAATACAATTTGAACTCAGTTGGGGTCTCAATTTACTGTTGAGAGTTAGAATAATAGAATGCACAGTCACTCAATTAGCCCATGCCAGCATAATTTTTTATTTATTGGTAAGTTAGTCTAGCGGCCAGCTATCTAAACTTGTAGTAAGCATGGTCGAATTACCAACCGGGGTCGGGCCCATTGATCATCAGTCATATTAAAAACTGCTAACATTTGCCTTCACCCTATGGCAAAATGAGTAGAATTGCATGAAATTAGATATAAAATTGATAAATCTTTGTTTTGTAAATATTTTTATTAGTGTAATTAAATGTAGATTGTATAAAGAAATTGTTGTTTAATTATTCTGATACAAAGTGGGCTTCAGATAAATCAATGTATTACTATTATTCACAGTTTTGGCTTATAGTGTTATTGTTATGATAACTCATAAGTCAGGTCTTCTTGGAATACAATTGTTGTCTAATAACAGACCTGTGCCCCGATTTTAAAATATATGAATTAATCCTTAGAGATTAATTAATTAATTAATCATTTATAGTAATAATTATACATACTACTTTATAAAGGAGAGGACAGTAGCAGGGCTGGTTCACAGCTTGTGCTGAGGCAGGTGTCTCTTGCTCAGCAGGCCAGCTCTCTCCTTCCCCCCCTCTCCCTCTCCACTCCACACCATGTCACTTCCTCTGACACACTTCCTCTCTCTCACTCACTCACACTCTCTCACACACCACACACACCAGGAAGATTGGATGCAGGCCTAGAAGAGAGAGATTCACAATTTCTAAGCAAATCCCAGGTTAGCCTATGGCACTTGATGTAGGATTTGATTTATTAGGATCCCCATTAGCGACACCAATGGCGACAGCTAATCTTACTGGGGTCCGACACAATACTTTATAATTTACATACATTTAAAAACAACATGTAGTGGCATGTTTGGTGGGGTAAGTGTGTGTGTCAGTGCTGTGTGTAAGTTGACTATGCAAACAATTTGGAATTTCCAACACGTTGTTTCTTATAAAAACAAGAAGTGACGCAGGCAGTCTTTCCTCAACTCTTAGCCAAGAGAGACTGGCAAGAGACTGGCATGCATGGTAGTAATATTAGCCCTCTGATTACAATGACGAGCAAGATGTGCCGCTTAACTAGGTCTTTCTTTGCAGTGTTTGACCATATGACTGGACAATAATCAAGATAAGACCAAACTAGAGCCTGCGGGACTTGCTTTGTGGAGTGTGGTGTCAAAAAGCAGAGCATCTCTTTATTACGGACAGACCATTGAATCTATATGTTTTGACCATGACAGTTTACTATCTAAGGTAACACCAAGTAATTTAGTCTCCTCAACTTGTTCAACAGCCACAACCTGTTCAACAGCCACAGATTTCAAAGGTTGTGTACAGTAGCTATAGGTCTAATTAGCATTATGGTAATTGTCCTCTCATAGGGTAGTGGAAATGTTTGATGAATGAATAAATGGGGTGATGTGTTGTTATTATGGTGGCTGAGAGCATCAGTGACTGCTGCTGAGAGGTGTGTGTGTGTGTGTGTGTGTGTGTGTGTGTGTGTGTGTGTGTGTGTGTGATTTAGACGCCGAGGCCAACGCCACCCCTCTACATATAGCATCAGCAGCCATGATGTTTTGTTGTCGTCTTTCTATTAGTGTTTTTTTTTCTTCTCTTTCGCACTCCTTTCCTTGAACATGCTGTAACACTCTCTCTCTCCTTTTGATCTCTTGATAGATATTCGACTTGATGGATGCCAAAGCTCGGCAAGATTGCATCAAAGAAATAGATCTCCTTAAGGTAAAGAACCAGAGAGAGAGCGAGAAAACAATTGATCTGTACCAGACGCCTGCATGCGAGTGTGTGTTCGTGTGTCTTTCTCTGTGTGTGTGCCTCTCTCTCTTTTGTGTGTGTGTGTGAGTCCTCCAGGTTTACATTGACTCTTTTTCTTTAATGCCCCAAACATTCTTTTTTTCTTTTTTTTCTCAGTAATGTTTAGAAGGGGGGCAACAGTGCATCGCCATGGAAATTTAGCAGACTCCCTTGTGTCTTTTGATGTTTTGTCCACGCCCCTGATCGTTTTCTCTTTCTCTTTTACTTTTTTTAAATGAAGCGTTTTCATTGATCAAACTACCTTAAACATGCGTTGGTTGTCTCTGGCCTCAAAAGCTAACGAACAAATGAATGACGGGTTGAATAACTCCCTCTGTCTGGGTGATCAGAGGTGTGTATGTTTACATTTACATTTTAGTCATTTAGCAGACGCTCTTATCCAGAGCGACTTACAGTTAGTGAATACATTTTTTATTTTATTATTTTTATACTGGCCCCCCGTGGGAATCGAACCCACAACCCTGGCGTTGCAAACGCCATGCTCTATCAACTGAGCTACATCCCTGCCGGCCATTCCCTCCCCTACCCTGGACGACGCTGGGCCAATTGTGCGCCGCCCATGAGTCTCCCGGTCACAGCCGGCTGCGACAGAGCCTGGATTCGAACCAGGATCTCTAGTGGCACAGTTAGCACTGCGATGCGGCGCCTTAGACCACTGCGCCACTCAGGAGACTATATGTATGTGTGCTCCAGGTTGTTGCCAGCTCTGTTCGTAACACACGACTCTCTCTTCCATGCACACCTAGATAAGGTCTGGATTAGCCAACCACAGAGGAGACTGGTGTTATGTCAGGTTTAGCCACATGCCCCCTCTCTTCCCCTCCCTCCATTTCCCCCTCTCTCCTCCATTCTAGGGCTCAGAAGGCTGATGCACAAGATATGTCACTCCATCCCTCCCCTCTCTCGCCATCACGCCTCTCTCTATCCCTCCTCCCTGAGTGTGTGGTTGCTTTCTCTGCTCTGTCTCTTCTGTGTGAGTGCTAATGGTTGCGGTGGTTAGTTCCAACAGTCTGGCCATGTGTCTACTGGGAAGGGCTGGCAGGGCTAACAAGGCCAGATTGCGAACGGGGGAATCCAGCCTTCCTTCCATCTATCCATCCTTCTACCCCAGTAGACAGGACAACACGACACACGGCCAAATCAGAGTAATGAGATGCACACTGCCACGGGCCTGACACATACACACCCATACTGGCATGCACGCTCACGCACACGGTCCTCTGTCTGTCTCTCTATCTATCTGTTCATATGCTTTGTCACTATTGTGGAATTGTTCACTTTATAAACTAAAGTGTAGGCTAGATGATCATGTGGTCCTGTATGGCTCAGTTGGTAGAGCATGGCGCTTGCACCGTCAGGGTTGTGGGTTGGATTCCCGGTGCCACACGTAAAATGTATGCACGCATGACTGTTAAGTGACTATGGATAAAAGCGTCTGCTAAATGGCATATACTGTATATACTTTAGATGACATGTCTATACTCTTAGACTCAATTAAAATGTGCTTTATTGGCATGACATATTGATACATATTGCCGAAGCACAATGATACGCTCTCACATTCCTCCGTCCATCTCTCAGCCTCTGTGTTGGAGTTTACGTCCAGCCCTTACATGAGTTCTGTGAGATGAGATGCAGTACACATTAACCTCATTTAACCTGAACTAACTGGACAGAAGCCTGGCCCTGCCTGCGCACACCCTGAAGCTGTCCAGGCCTGGAGCTGGAGAGCCAGCATCTACAGTCATGTCTCTTATCATGGCCAGCGTCTTCATGGAACACAGTGTTGGGGGGTGGGGGGGAGTGGTGGAGACACGGATGGCTCTCTTGCTCTGCTATGACGCGTCACAGAGCTGCATCCCTGATCCCAAAATACATCTGCTGGAGTGTGTTTGTTTGTGTGTGTGTTTGTTTGTGTGTGTACTGTATGTATACATGGCTTCTCCTGTGGATCAGTCCACAGAGTGAACATTTCTTTAATCACGTCGGAGCAGTGTCATACCGCATGCCTGGGCCCCGCTACCGCTGCTCACATCACAACCCCTGACACACGACACGCTTACTGTAGCTCGCTCTCTCTCTCTCTCTCTCTCTCTCTCTCTCTCTCTCTCTCTCTCTGCTCTCTCTCTCTCTCTCTCTCTCTCTCTCTCTCTCTCTCTCTCTCTCTCTCTCTCTCTCTCTCTCTCTCCTCTCTCTCTCTCTCTCTCTCTCTTTTTCTCTCTCTCTCTCTCTTTCTCTCTCCCCCCCCCCCCCCTCTGTCTGACTGCACCTGATGTGGTTACTCACTTATTGACCGATCAACAGGAAATAATCTGTTGAGAAAATGAGAGGGTTTCTATATTTATTTATTTCTCTGCCAGCGGGCGTGTTGAGAACTGTGTGGAACAGCAGCCTGTTGTAATCAGACGGTGGTTGTTGTTGACATGTCACACTGCTCTGTCACACACAAGGACAAAGCCATAGCCTTCTCATTCAACTACACTGTTTCTGCACTGCCATAGCCAGCCAAATGACCTACAACATTACATATTACAGAAACAGCTGATAATGGTTATTTAAAAGGATTTTAACACTTTAACATACGCTTTGTCACATTATATTGTGTTGTTTATTATATCTGTGTAAGAAGGTGTCATTGGTTGGAGACTTGGGACAAAGATGTGTTGATTTCACAAAGCTTTACAAACCCTGGGAGCCAGTTAAACAGTCACTGATCCCTCGTCTATTCTCTCTCTCTCTCTTTCCCTCTCTCTCTCGCTATCTCTCTCTCGTACAGCAACTGAACCACCCCAACGTGATCAAGTACCATGCATCATTTATTGAGGAGAATGAGCTGAACATTGTGTTGGAGCTGGCTGATGCTGGGGACCTCTCCCGGATGATCAAGGTAAGAGATCTGGTGCTCCCACACAGGTCAGCCTTCCTCACTGGGATCCACCCTGGTGATCTACTTCCCTGTTGACCCGCTGTAGTGATGATCTCTGGTGCTCATCCACTGGAGATCCACTATAGTGATGGTCCACTCCGGTGATCAGAAACAGTAGTCCACTATAGTGATCTACTCTTGTGGTGATCCGCCCTGGTGATCTTCTATGTCGATCTACTCTGGTTGATATTTTTTTTTTGCTAAACTGTGTTTGCCTGCTGTAATCTCTCATACAGTACAACTCTCCAGCAGAACCATAGTATTCATATGCTTCACTCATGCCCGTGTCAAATTAGTGGTATGTAATGAATGTATGTATGTATGTATGTATGTATGTATGTATGTATGTAAAACCCTGAGCAGAGCAGAGAAGCCTCTCCATGTATAAATGATGCAGCCAGCCTAGCCAGGGTGTATCTGAGCAGCTCAACAAGCCCTTAGCACCCATCTACTGCAGCTCTCAATGTCCAACCATCCAACGCTGTCTCCCACTGCAAATTAGGACCGCACGATTAGCACTGCCTGCGAGAGATACCACACGGCAGGCTACACACACACGGGCACAGACACGTACAGACACAAACACATGCGGACACACACACACACAGCTCTGCCTTCGCTCCTGCCTGCTGTCCTCTCTTCAAATGATTTGTTTTCCTAATTAAACAGTGCCAGTCCAGAGGTTGGCATCATGACCCCTCGCTCCCCCTTCGCTGCCCTGCCGCATTATGAAGTAAATACACCATTCTTACACTGTGGTGCCCCCCCTTCTCTCCCTTCCTCTTCCTGGCACTTGCCCTGACCATCTCAGGATTCTAATAAAATCAAATGGTCCTTGATTTGCATGCACTTACAGAATATAGCATGTGCAGGGTTTGCAGTGGAAGGCATGGAGGGCTTTCTGCTGCTCCCCCATTGACATCAAACACTCCTCTGATATGCTAATGGTAGGGGCAAGGGGAAGAATGGCCCACCATGCTGCCTTTGTTTGGATGTGGGCCAAGGTCTCTCTATTTCACACACATGCACCTACGCAGGCACACACACACACATGGATGCACGCAGGGACAGACGCAAACACACACACACACACACACACACACACAGACAGATGCATGTGCACATACACACTTTCTTGCTATCGTTCCTGTTCACTCTCTCTTTCTCAACTATTGTTCCCATTTGCACTCTCTGTTTCTCGCTATCTTTCCCGTTTCCCTCACTCTCTCTCTGCGCTCCCGTTTGCTAGTTTATGCAGATCAGTATCTCATCCAGCACAGCAACAAAGCTAGCTAGCCAGTCCATCTCTCACCCGATTGGCTATTACACCGCCCTAGCTGACAATTTGCATAAACTTTGTCCCATCACTCGGACCATTGATTTCCGGTAGTCCTGTCACACAGTGACTGTTTCTGTGATCTCTGAAAGAGAATGAAGTCATGATCGACCGCTAGGAGCTGCTGGGAGGGTGAGGGGTTAGGGCGGCGGGAATTGTGTGTTGTGTGGGCGTAGTTTGTGTGTGACTGGTTTACATATATATGTAGGAGCTATATACCAGATGTGAGCGTTTTTGAACATAACCACAAATGCTTTTCTCTGGCTCTGAGAACTCATGTGCTTTCCATCGCAGCGTAATGAAAATGAGAAGGGGCTCGGTATGAGAACGAAGCAGAGAGCGAGGGCTGTGAGGAGAAGGAAAAAGGGACAGAGGGAGGCAGAGCGAGGGAAAGAGAGAGGTCAGGGAGAGGGGAGCGAGAGAGGCAAAAAGAGAGAGGGGAAAGAGAGAGGTCTGCATCATATTAACGATGGAGTCAAATACATACAGAGGGACACGAGGGGCTTAGCTAGTTAGTTGTGTGTGTTAAGCTTGTGTGTCTTGTCTGACATTGTTGTGTTGTGTGTGTCTATACAGCACTTTAAGAAGCAGCGGAGGTTAATTCCAGAGAGGACAGTGTGGAAGTACTTTGTCCAGCTGTGCAGTGCACTGGAACACATGCACTCCCGACGGGTCATGCACAGAGGTACTACACACACGTGCACGCACGCACGCACACACGCACACACTTGAACTTCAACTTGAGCTATGTACCCTGTCCTCTCTACAGACATAAAGCCAGCTAATGTGTTCATAACAGCCACAGGAGTGGTGAAGCTGGGAGATCTGGGACTGGGACGATTCTTCAGCTCCAAAACCACCGCTGCCCATTCTTTAGGTAAGACACACACACAAACACTTTTGTTTGACTATCCTTGTGGGGACCGAACAATTGATTCCCATTCAAAATCTTATTTTTCTTCAATCCTAATCCTAACTCTTAAACCTAACCCCTAACTTCTAACCATAAACCTAACCCCTATACCTAATTGTAACCCTAACCCTAAACCTAACCTCTAAGCCTAAAATAGCCTTTTTCCTCGTGGGGACCGGCAAAATGAAGCCAACTGGTCCAATTTTCCTGGTTTTACTATCCTTGTGAGGACTTCTGGTCCCCACAAGGATAGTAAAGCCATACATACATACACACACACACACACACACACAGTAAGGGGATGTGTTTCATTAGCTGGTGCAGCCCAGAACCATGTGTGTGTTATAAAGCTGGGGGGGTTGAGGCCTTCTAAAGGCAGCTTAGGGGCTGTCACCTCTTCATTGGCCAGTTAGTCACTTCCTGTTGCCTTGACCCCTGACCTCTGACCTGTTGTCTGGGCGGAACCAGTCTGAAACATGCCTCACCACTGCTGCCCGATACACAGCTCTGTTTGCTGTAAAACAGCGGCAGGCTGACACTGGCACATGATGTGTGTTTGTGAGTGTGTTGTGGTGGGGATTGTGCCGCTGTCAAAAACGCTCAGTCAACATATTCTTACATTCTCAAAAACTTGAGAGGACAGGATGTTTTCAAATAAACATGTAATGAAAATTACAATTTTAATTAAGTGAGAACATCATTACACAATGGTAAACAATAGGATTGAGAGACGACCCACACTTACAGTGTACATTTGGAAAACACAAACCACAGCGCCCTCTTCAGGTGGTCTGTGAGTAGGCTGCTCCTTCAGCCCCTTGGTCAGGGTGGTAGAGAAGAGGAGCGTTTGGTGTGGTTTATTCGGATCCCCATTAGCTTTTGCGGAAGCGCAGCTTCCTAGGGCCAACAAAAAAACATAAAACAGGACAAGTAACAAAACAATGATACACTGATAGACAAAAAACAGTCACACAAATTTAAAATACAACGATATATAAACAATACAACTAAAGAATAATGTGTGTGTGTTAGTGTGATCGATATGTCTGTGTGTGCGTGTCATTCCCCCCCAAAAAAATGTAAAGGTCATTTTGCCATTTGCTTCTCTTTCATTATTAGATGTTTTATACAAAAATATGATGGTTCACTGTTCAATGTTGTCATTTCACTTCTGAGTTTTCCCACTGCTAGTGAAATAGTCATTAAAATGATTGGCAATATCGAAAGGCTTTGTTATAAATGACCCATCAACTTCAATGAATGATGGAGATGAATTGGGTTTTCTGCCCCATGATATAATTTAAGGTACTCCAAAGTCTTTTTCCATTGTGTTTTATGTCATTCCTTCTTCTTTTTGTTAAGTTTAGTCACAAAATGTCTCAATTTACATTATGTCAACCAATCAGCTGAGCAGCCTGACTTGTCTTCCTCCTCTCTTGCATCATTTCTTTGGACCATACCATTTTTCAATTCATCATCAATCCAGGGGTCTCTTACAGTTTTCACAGCTAATTTTTAAACAGATGCATGCTTGTCAACAATAATTGTACAAATACTTCCAATGCTGCATCTGGATTCATTTCCTCAAACACATCAGACCAACATACATTTTTTACATCTTCAACAAAACATGTTGTATGATCTCTTATTAATTACTTTAGGCCCAACCTTTGACACTTTGGCTTTCCTTGTTATTGCCACAATTGTATGGCCACTACAGCAAATGGGAACTGATATTTCTTTGGAGCAAAGCTCTGCAGCATTAGTGAAGATATGATCAATACAAGTGGATGTCACAGATCCAACACTATTGGTATTCACTCTAGTTGGTTGAGTGATGTCCTGGGTCATATTAGAGGCATTAGTCACAGTTAGAAGCTTCCTCTTGAGAGGACAGCTAGTTGCTAACCAGTCAATGTTCAGGTCACCTCTCTGTTAACGTCACACGTTATCAAGCATTGCATATATATTATCCAGATATTGACTGTTAACACTTGGTGGCCTATAGCAGCACCCCAAAAGAAGAGGCTTTAGATGAGGCAGGTGAACTTGCAACCACAACAATTCAACAACATTTGACATGAGATCCTCTCTAAGCTTTACAGGAATATGGCTCTGAAAATACACTGAGTGTACAAAACATTAGGAACACATTCCTAATATTGCCCTCAGAACAGCCTCAATTCGTCGGGGCATGAACTCTACAAGGTGTTGAAATCGTTCCACAAGGATGCTGGCCCATGTTTTGCCGCCTTGCCGCCTTGCCAGGTCACCCTTGCAAAATAGGTTTTTAACCTCAATGGGTCTTACCTGGTTAAATAAATGGTTCCCACAGTTGTGCCAAGTTGGCTGGGTATCCTTTGGTTGGTGGACCATTCTTGATACACAATGGAAATTGTTGAGCGTGAAAAACCCAGCAGCATTGCAGTTCTTGACACACTCAAACAGGTGCGCCTGGCACCTACTACCATAGCTTGTTCAAAGGCACTTACATATTTTGTCTTGCCCATTCACCCTCTGAATGGCACACTTACACAATCCATGTCTCAACTGACTCAATGCTTAAAAATCCTTCCTTAACCCGTGTTCTCCCCTTCATCTACACTGATTTGAGGTGGATTTAACAGGTGACATCAATAAGGGGTTATAGCTTTCACCTGGTTGGTCTATGTCATGGAAAGAGTGTTCATAATGTTTTGTACACTCAGTGTTTACAGCAACACCTCCCCCATAGGCATTCTTGTATTGCTACTGCTGTATCATCAAAGGAATTATCTTAGTGAGTTTCAGAGATGGCCAGTATATGAATGTTATCCAATCTTAACACGTTATTGATTTCATGAACCTTATTTCTAAGGCTACATATATTGATACGGGCTGTTCTCAGCCCTTTCCTGGGTAGCTTATCAGAGATATACATAATACGGGGGAAAAAATATATACAATAAAAATAAAAATACTGTTTGGCTAATAGTCAGTCAATCAGGTACTTATGAGTGTCATTTGATGTATGTGTGTGATGTTGGGCTGAAGCTACTGACCAGGAAGCTTGGCTCTCTCACTCCTCCCAGGTTTCTGGGAGGGAGGGTGGACAATCAGCTTGTCGTAGCGGATGTAAGCAATGTCCCCACGCTCTCTGGCAGCTTCCATAGCTGGGATAAGTTATTTCCGCCGCTGGCGCACAGCTTCAGAGAAGTCCTCGTTGAGGAAGATGGGGAGAGGGGAGGAGAAGAGCAGAGGCTAGTTTCTCCACAAAGGGTTCATCTCCCCCACGGGCATGGAGACCCAGAATCCATCCATTCTCTAAAGCCTCTCTTCTCCTCTCCGGCCCTCACCTTTCTCTCCATTGCTCTCTTCCTGTCTCCTGCTGCCTCTTTCTTTCTTTTCCCCTCTCCCTTTTTTTCCTCGCTCACATTTTTTGGCCCTGCTCTCTCTCTCTTTTTCTTTTCCCATCTCTCTTTCTTTCTGCCTCACCGTCTATCCATGTCTCTTACTCAAGCTCTCCTTTCCGCTCTTGCTCTTTCCCCTCCATTCTCTCCTCCCCCCAACTCATTTTCTCACTTTCTCCTTCCCTCGCTCACCCTCCCTCTTTTCCTCTACCTCTGTCTCTTTGGGAAGATCTCAATTGCATACTCCTCGCGTCGTCTCTCCTCGTCTCCTTCTCAAAACCCATTGGATGAGAAGCCAGAGGTCCCTCCCCTCTGACCTTCTCCTCCAATGGGTTTTGAGAAAGAGGTGAAGAGAGAGGAGGCCAGGAGTATGCAAATGAGATTCTTCTTTTATCTCTCTACATTGACTTCCTTTCCCTCCCCCTTTCTCCCTCCTACCCCCCTTCTCCCCCTTCCTTTCCCTCCCCCTTTCCCCTCCTACCCCCCTTTCTCCCCCGACCCCCTTCTAGCCTCCCCCTTCCTTTCCCTCCCCCTTTCTCCCTCCTACCCCCTTCTCCCCCTTCCTTTCCCTCCCCCTTTCTCCCTCCTACCCCCTTCTCCCCCTTCCTTTCCCTCCCCCTTTCTCCCTCCTACCCCCTTCTCCCCCTTCCTTCCCTCCCCCCTTTCTCCCTCACTACCCCCTTCTCCCCCCCCTTCCTGTTCCCTCCCCCTTTCTTCCCCTCCTATCCCCTTCTCCCCCTTCCTTTCCCTCCCCCCCCCTTTCTCCCCTCCCCTAACCCCCTTCCTTGGCGATGCCCTTTTTCCCGCCTAGCCCCTTTCCCTTCCTTCCCTCACCACCTTTCTCCCTCGCCTACCCCCCGTTCTCCCCCATTCCTTCCGCTCCCCCCTTTCTCCCTCCTACCCCCCTTCTCCCCCATTCCTTCCCTCCCCCCTTTCTCCCTCCTCCCCCTTCTCCCCTTCCTTTTCCCCCCACCCCCTCCCCCCACCCCCTTCTCCCCCTTCTTTCCCTCCCCCTTTCTCCCTCCTCCCCCCTTCTCCCCCTTCCTTTCCCTCCCCCTTTCTCCCTCCTACCCCCTTCTCCCCCTTCCTTCCCCCCCCCTTTCTTCCTTCCCCCTTTTCCCCCCCCTTTCTCCCTCTCCCCCCCCCCCTCCCCCTTCCTTTCCCTCCCCCTTTCTCCCTCCCCCCCCCTTCTCCCCCCTTCTTCCCTTTTTTTTCCCTCCCCCCCCCCTTTCCCCCTTTTTTCCCCCCTTTCCCCCCCCTTTCCCTTCCTTTTTCCCCCTTTTCTTTCTCCCCCACCCACCCCCCCTTTCCCTTTCCCCCTTTTCCCCCCCCCCCTACCCCCCCTCCTTTTCCTTTTCCCCCCCTCTTTTCCCCCCTCCCCCCCGGTTTTCTCCCCCCTCCTTCCCTTTCCCCCTTTTTCCTCCCCCCTCCTTCCCTTCTCCCCCTTCCTTCTCCCTTCCCCCTTTCCCTCCCTCTTTTCCCTCACCCCCTTCTCCCCCATCCTCGCCCCCTTTCTCCTACCCTCCTATCCTCCCATCCTTCCCTTTCCCCCTTTCTCCCTCCTACCCCCCTTCTCCCCCCCCATTTCCCTCCCCCTTTCTCCCTCCTACCCCCTTCTCACCCCATCCCTTCACCTTCCCATCCCCCTTTCCCCCCCCTCCCTTCTCCCCACCCCTTCTCTACTCTCCCCTTCCTCTCCCTCCCTCCTCTTATCTCTCACCCTCTCTTTCCCTCCCTCCTCCCTTCCTCTCCTTCTCTCCCTCTCTGGGGGGAGGGGGGAGGTCTGTAATAAGTCAAACCACCCCAGTAGAGGAGGTGCTGGCTAGATGGAGGTCCAGGCTTAGAGCCTGTCAGCTCCCTCTCTCTCTCTCCCTTTCAACTCAACAGCCCGAAGATGTGCGCGTACACATGCACACATATACACGCACACACACACACACACACACACACACACACACACACACACACAACACACACACCACACATCGCCAGGTTCCATCCATAGATTGCTACCATGACAATATTCTCTTCTCTTCCCCGAGAATGCCGCTCAGTTGTCTTAACGATTCCTAATAATGGAAATCAATCCCAACATGACTTCTAGTTTATCTGCATGAATAAATGAGTGTGTTTTAATTGGGAATGAATGAATGCTGACTGAGCCACTGTTGCTCTGCTCCTCTATACAACTATTAGCATAAGAGAGGATGATGCTCTTTAATTAGCTGGTAATGTATGTTAGGGGAACACTGTTAAAACAGCACCAGGAGACCTCCGTAGAAACGCACACATGCAAGCACACACACCGCCAACCTGATGACCTGGGCTCTCGCAAGCCATCTCTCTCTCTCTCTCTCTCTCTCTCTCTCTCTCTCTCTAGTTGATGGTGGAAGTGAATTATTATTTTTAGAATTATAGGTCACAATTCATTATAAAGAGCTCACATTTACAGATACATACATTTTTTCACAGCCCAATTAAAAAACACATTTATGCATCGAAAGACAAACTCTTATAGCATTCCCTGTTATAGGTTTATTAAAACTAATTACATTACACATTGGAATATTTGCCCTCAACATGTGTGTGTGTGTGTGTGTGTGTGGACTTGTTTAAATATGCCTGTGGACCAGAAGTCCCCACAAGAATAGTAAACGAACACAAATTTGACCAACTGGGGACATTTTGTTGGTCCCCACAATGTCAAATGCTATTTCTAGGGGTTTAGTGTTAGGGTTAGAATTAGGGTTAGGGTTAGGAGCTAGGGTTAGGGTTAGGTTTTCGGGTTAAGGTAAGGGTACGGGTTAAGTTTAGGGTTAGGGAAAATTTGATTTTGAATGGGACGGAATTGTGTGTCCACAATGTTAGTTATACAAGACTGTGTGTGTGTGCGAGCGAGTACATGTGTGTGTGTGTGTGCAAACTAGCTCAACCACCTGTATTTGATCTGGATATATCTTTGGTCTCTCTATCAGCTATCTTCCCCCCAATCAGGCTCACTAGGGCCCTCTGTGGTGGAGAGGTCTAACTACAGCTCTCTGTACATGATCTGTGTGATTGGACTGTATGATTGTGTGGTCTGGAGCTGGGCCAGGCAGCATGGCATTGGGATTATTGAGTTTCAGAACCAGAGCCAGAGTGTAATGGTTGTAGAATGTCTGTTTGACTCCTGTTTCTGATCATGATGATACATGGTAATGAGAGCTGAACCAGAGCTGTGATGTAGTGGACTAGCAGTTTGAATGCGTGTGTGTGTGTGTTTGTGAGATCTCACTTTTTCTGTCATTCTCACTCTCTCTCTCTGAGGTTGTGTGTGTTGGGACATATGTGGTGTGCTGGAATGGCTAGGTTGGAGAGGCAACAGGCTAATGTCTCTCTCCCTGTCTGTCTGTCTGTTCCAGTGGGCACCCCGTACTACATGTCCCCAGAGAGAATACATGAAAATGGATACAACTTCAAATCTGACATCTGGTCGTTAGGCTGCCTGCTCTACGAGGTAACGTATATACAATACACATATACTGTACTGTGGCATACTGTACACAGACACACACACACACACACACACACACACACACATTTCTGAGGTGAAGGTGTATAGGAGAGCTGTAGTGTGTTTGAAGCTAGCAGGGAAATCACAGTGACATGTCAATGTTGTGCAGATTAACTGGGTGGTTGTGCTGAGCACTGATACTGACTAGTTAGATTACCCTCTAGAAGAACCCTTTCCACCTTACAGACCACACAAGGGAGGGAGAGAGAGGGAGAGGTCTTACAGGTGTGTGTCGGATGTATGGATCTTGAATGTCTGTAAGGGTCATACACGTGTGTGTGTGTGTGTGTGTGTGTGTGTGTGTGTTTCAGAGCTGTGTTTGAGAGAACATGAATGTTTCAGTGATATGCCTGGTGGTCTAGATGGGTGAAAGACAGACAATACCTGGCCATTGTCTCTCTGTCTGCATCTCCTATACTGTTTGATGGAGGATTGTGTGTGTGCGTGCCCACGCGCCCATGTGCATGCATGTTCGTTTGTTTGTGATGAGGTCACCCCATTATATTCACCTGACCCTGCCCACCTCCGGCGTTGTGGTAACGGGATGATGCCTAGTTGCCGGGGTGGTCTCCCTTGGTGACCGGGGGGGATTCCTCTCCTCTCCTCTCCTCTCCTCTCCTCTCCTCTCCTCTCCTCTCCTCTCCTCTCCTCTCCTCTCCTCTCCTCTCCTCTCCTCTCCTCTCCTCTCCTCTCCTCTCCTCTCCTCTCATCACCCCTTACCTCCCTGTTCCTCTCCAACTCTCCCATCCCTCCCCATCCCTAACCGTTGGTCGTCTCTGTTAGTTTTACCATCAACATGAACACACAAGTTAAAGTCTTGATGTCTCGCTCTGTTGGACCACATCTTTCTGTTTTAAACCACTCCCCTCCCTCTCCTCTTCCCCTCACCTCCCTCCCCTCCCCATACAGGGGTGTTTGGCCTTTTAAACTGGACACATACAAGATGAGAACATGCTAAAGATTGTTAAGAGATCTCTCTGTGTCCCTGTTGTATCTATACGTCATGTAAGGTAACAGCTATAAGTCCTTGAAAGCACTTGCATAGGTCTGCTGTGAAAACAGTTTCATGTATCAGTTCATTTCACATTAACTTAATTTCACATGAACTTTTAACATATAATTAGAAAGGCTTCATATAGTATTCCAGTGTTAGTTTTCCACTGAGCTTTACCTTTGTGCCTGCTCTCCCCACTCCTCTCCCTACTGTCAGAGTTTAATGTAATAGCTTAGTGAATTAATTTGTGTGTACACGAGCACTCGTGCACACTCACATTCATTTTCCCTCTCTCAGCTAGGCCTGCAAGAATGAATACAGTATCTTAATACAGCAGATTAACAGACATAAAACAACGTCTAACTTTCTGTTTTCCTACTTAATTTGTCATGTTCTAAGACTACAGAAAGAAAGAAAGAAAGAAAGAAAGAAAGAAAGAAAGAAAGAAAGAAAGAAAGAAAGAAAGAGAGAAAGAGAGAAAGAAAAATAAATAAAGTGATTGCATCTGAAAGTTAGTTCTTTACAACAGTTGAGTCAGGAGGGAGAGATGGAGAGCTAGATAGATAGATAGAGAATATAGAGGGAGTCATGCAGCGAGATCAATATTCATTAAGAGAAGCTAGACCTCCTTATACATTCTCTTTAACATGGCTAGGGCCTCATGCTTACACACAGGCTGAACTGTAGAGGACACACACGCACACACACACACACACACTGGACAGCTAGAGGGTAGAGGAGGAGGCAAAGAACCAGCGAGAGAGAAATTGAGGTGTGTGTATGTGTGCATGCCACTAGAAGCCCCTTAGACAGACAGCAGGTGTGCATGTGCGGAAGACGACCCTGGAATACCAATGAGCTGACCCCCCCCACCCACACACACACACACAGGCCCCGGAGGTCATAGAGCGAGTCAATCATTTCGCCCAGCCTGAAATGAGCCTGTGTGTTCGTGTGTGTGCAGGGCCGGCAGCTGTCAGGAGTCAGGAGTAGTAGACGTTAATGAACCAGATGAATAGTGCAAGCATTCCCAAATACAAACAGGACAGTTGACATTTTTCATCTGTCAAAAGAAGAAGATTCATGAAAATACCATTGTCCTTGTTTAACCCTTTACTGGCTCCCCCTCCTTTCTCTCAGTTTTTCTCTCTCTCTCGTCTCTTTTCTCTCTCTCTTTCTCCTCTCTCTCTCTCTCTTGGAATACATGCCGGAACCCTACATATCGCCCTGCAACACACACTGTGCTAGTGTGGGTAAGTGATGGTGCAGCAGGCGGAATGTCCAGTGGAGAGACTTCCTGCTGAGATTCTAGTGCAATCATCCTTATTTCTCATTGGCCAATGTGACAGAGGCTGTCTTAACTATATCCAACACTCATTGGGCTCCTGGAGATCTACTTTATCTCCCCCAGTTGGCACTCTGAGATGGAGGGACGGGCCAAGGGATGGAGAGAGGGGTAGAGTAACTGCTTCAATGGAAGCAATGCGTCTCGTTTCCCATCCTCCCCTCGTTGCTAGGCAACCTCCCAGTTGCTTGATTAAGCGGTGGTACATGATAAAGACGGTGTGAGGAAGAGAGAGGACAGGGGGAGAGCGAGTGGAACATCTGGAAGAAAAGTGACACCAGTCTCGATGGCTGCTTCAGCTAATGTCTGCCTCTCCCAGCTCTCCCCTGCCTCCCCCCTTTCTCCACCCTCCCTATATCCTCCTTAACCACGCCCCCTCCTTCCCCTCTCCGCCACTCTTCCTCCTCTTTGTGGCTACACTCTTCATACTGGACACAGAGAGATAAAAATGGTATCCACGAGTTCATCTGACTCTGGGGAAGTAGATAAATGACCTCATTGCCAACATCCCGATGTATCCCTTTAAGTCCCATTGTCATTGAGAAGGCTAAATTCAGATAGTGTAGTAGTGTTTCAGTAGTGTTTTATTTGTCTTCCACTAGGCAGAAAATGTGTGTATCTAAATTATCTCTCTCTCCGTCCCTCAGATGGCAGCTCTCCAGAGCCCGTTCTATGGCGATAAGATGAACCTGTACTCTCTGTGTAAGAAGATAGAGCAGTGTGACTACCCTCCACTCCCATCTGACCACTACTCTGAAGAGGTACTGCTCCAACACTCTCTTTACCCTACCTTCTCTCCATCTCTCTCACCCCAAAATCACCTCCTCATGGGGTCTGAAATGATTGACACCCTTGATAAAGATGAGCAGAAATGACTGTATAATTCAAATACTGAGCTATATTGTATGCAAAACAATTTTGAAATTATAATATTTTATACTAATACAATTGCTCAGAGAAATAGATTTTGTTTAACAAATAATACTATTATTTTCTTCAAAAAAGTAAGGGGTCAAATTTATTGACACTATACCTTTCAATACCTCACCTTGCGAGGATAATGGCATTGAGCCTTTTTCTAAAATGAGTTGGAGAACACATTGGGAGGGATCTTAGACAATTCCTCCATTCAGAATCCTTCCAGGGCCCGGTTTCCCGATAGCGATGGAACATAGGCTTACGAGTGTTTTAACAATGCATCTTTCCTACAACGGCCGAAGATGTAACATACGTCTCCCAAAACACCACACAAAGAGAATGTTCAATAAGTACGTCGTTGAGGCATGTGTCGATACTGACCTTAACATTAGAATTATTGCACAATACTGATGACGGATCAGCTCCTAGAAAAATATCACCTATTGCTGCAACTATTGCTGCAGCTGTTTATCAAGATTTGGCACATCATTGCGCGCATGTTAGGCTACACATCATGAAATACAGTGAGGGAAAAAAGTATTTGATCCCCTGGTGATTTTGTACGTTTGCCCACTGACAAAGACATGATCAGTCTATAATTTTAATGGTAGGTTTATTTGAACAGTGAGAGACAGAATAACAACAAAAAAATCCTGAAAAACGCATGTCAAAAATGTTATAAATTGATTTGCATTTTAATGAGGGAAATAAGTATTTGACCCCTCTGCAAAACATGACCAAAATAGTTCAATAACCAAAATAGATTTTTTCAAACATGTCATAGCTGACACCCCATTATTTCTGCAGACATCTTTTAATCTTAATTCGGAGCAGATATTAAACAGAGTTTTTGGAAAATGTGGTCGCATATAAATCTGAGGGAGATTTTACCGTAATTTCATTCCCAAAGTTTGCATCTGCACAGTTCTTCCACTAAATTAGTTTATTTTTCTGTGGAAATTGTTAAAAGTAGTCCTTGTGCATAGAGTTTGTTAAACTTTGAAATCAATGGTTTGTGTTTGGCAAACCATTGAAAAACGCATGTCAAAAATGTTATAAATTGATTTGCATTTTAATGAGGGAAATAAGTATTTGACCCCTCTGCAAAACATGACTTAGTACTTGGTGGCAAAACCCTTGTTGGCAATCACAGAGGTCAGATGTTTCTTGTAGTTGGCCACCAGGTTTGCACACATCTCAGGAGCGATTTTGTCCCACTCCTCTTTGCAGATCTTCTCCAAGTCATTAAGGTTTCAAGGCTGACGTTTGGCAACTCGAACCTTCAGCTCCCTCCACAGATTTTCTATGGGATTAAGGTCTGGAGACTGGCTAGGCCACTCCAGGACCTTAATGTGCTTCTTCTTGAGCCACTCCTTTGTTGCCTTGGCCGTGTGTTTTGGGTCATTGTCATGCTGGAATACCCATCCACGACCCATTTCAATGTCCTGGCTGAGGGAAGGAGGTTCTCACCCAAGATTTGACGGTACATGGCCCCGTCCATCATCCCTTTGATGCGGTGTAGTTGTCCTGTCCCCTTAGCAGAAAAATACCCCCAAAGCATAATGTTTCCACCTCCATGTTTGATGGTGGGGATGGTGTTCTTGGGGTCATAGGCAGCATTCCTCCTCCTCCTCCAAACACGGCGAGTTGAGTTGATGCCAAAGAGCTCCATTTTGGTCTCATCTGACCACAACACTTTCACCCAGTTCTCCTCTGAATCATTCAGATGTTCATTGGCAAACTTCAGACGGGCCTGTATATGTGCTTTCTTGAGCAGGGGGACCTTGCGGGCGCTGCAGGATTTCAGTCCTTCACGGCGTAGTGTGTTACCAATTGTTTTCTTGGTGACTATGGTCCCAGCTGCCTTGAGATCATTGACAAGATCCTCCCGTGTAGTTCTGGGCTGTTTCCTCACTGTTCTCATGATCATTGCAACTCCACAAGGTGAGATCTTGCATGGAGCCCCAGGCCGAGGGAGATTGACAGTTATTTTGTGTTTCTTCCATTTGCGAATAATCGCACCAACTGTTGTCACCTTCTCACCAAGTTGCTTGCCGATGGTCTTGTAGCCCATTCCAGCCTTGTGTAGGTCTACAATCTTGTCCCTGACATCCTTGGAGAGCTCTTTGGTCTTGGCCATGGTGGAGAGTTTGGAATCAGATTGATTGATTGCTTCTGTGGACAGGTGTCTTTTATACAGGTAACAAGATGAGATTAGGAGCACTCCCTTTAAGAGTGTGCTCTTAATCTCAGCTCGTTACCTGTATAAAAGACACCTGGGAGCCAGAAATCTTTCTGATTGAGAGGGGGTCAAATACTTATTTCCCTAATTAAAATGCAAATCAATTTATAACATTTTTGACATGCGTTTTTCTGGATTTTGTTGTTGTTATTCTGTCTCACTGTTCAAATAAACCTGCCATTAAAATTATAGACTGATCATTTCTTTGTCAGTGGGCAAACGTACAAAATCAGCAGGGGATGAAATACTTTTTTCCCTCACTGTATATTGAGACAGATTACAGACGGTAGCCTACAAGTAGCTAAATAAAATCTATTGATTTAACATGAAATGTATTTCAATATGATTGAAATAGTCCTATAGCCTACTATATTTATATTTTAATGCAGTCATCTCGGTTTTAATTTGAAGTATCTTTTTATATGTCGCTTGTTTGTATCAATTGCAAAGACATTGGCAACTTTGTATTTTTTGTCAACTTTATTCTGGAGTTATCGGCGGTCACGGAGAGGCGGATAAACAATGTTATTCTATGTTTAGTGGAGATCGTCTGTGTATAAAATGATGCTGAAGGACAAAAAAACATCTAACAACGCACTTGGCTGTTCTACGAGTGGTCTGAGGCAGGCGTTAGATTACGAGCGTTTTCAAGCGCAACGTTTATAACGATGGTTTTGTGAAACAGCTAGGAGATTTAACGGTGTTCCTACGAAGGTTCTAACGATGAACTTAGCCTTCCTATGCTTTTGGGAAATTTTGCAATGGCATATCTCAGTCTCTGAACTTGAAACCCAATGAAAACCTGGGGTTTGAATTGAAGAGGGCAGTACATAAGCGCAGATGAAGGATATCAAGAATCTGGAAGTATTCCGTATGGAGTAATGGTCTAAGATCCCTCTAAGTCTCAGTGCCGTTATCCTCGCAAGGTGATGTTTTGAAAGGTTTTAAAACAGGCGTGTCAATAATTTTGACCCCAATCTTTTTTTTACCAAAAAAGTATTACTTGTTAAACAAAATCTCTTTCTCTGAGCAATTCTCATATACAATAATCTAATTTCCCAAATTTTTTGAGCAAACAATATAACTACGTATTTGAATTATTCAGCGCGTCTCGTGTGAATTCATATGTGGATTATAATGAATTGACATATTTGTAGGGGGTAGATGTATTTTTAGTTAGGGAAATGTAGTTGTTTTAGATACATTGTTTTATTAAATGTTGAAGGCAAAGCAATAGGCAAAATAAATTATTGGAATCCTCAATGCCTGTGTGGTTCAGATAATTACGAGCGGTTAAGGTTAGGGCTATGGTTTGGGGAAGGCTTAAAACAAAATAATTAAAAACTACGCACCTCTGGATCATCAGTATTCATAGTATTCTTAGTGCTTGCTAGAGCATTGTGAACTGCTGTAGCGCAGTGGTCTAAGCAGCGCGCTCCGAGCCTCAGGAGTTCGTGCCCAGTGCTGGGCGATGTCTGGTTTGTATTGTAATCGGAACAACTTAGTCCTTTTTAAACAGACCAAGGGTGATTTATCTATTTGAAAAGCATTCCGTACAATATCAATAAAATATTTCATTGTTTACCGTAGCAAATCTACTGTGGCAATTTACCTGACACTTTGTATGAATGGAAACGTTGGTGTAGCCTACTGTTATTTTATTAGTTTCCTATTTATGTTATCCAAAGGAGACTGGTATGGTCATTTCTTATCAAGATCGCGGGTAAAATATCCCTGGACTGTCCATATTTGAAATGTGTAAATCAATCTTATATGTGCCAGAAGGGGTGTGGGCTGGAATTGAACCCATGCCAACACGGTAGGCCTTTATGAAGGAAGCAACCCTAACCGCTAGACCACCCCAGGCCTCAAATGAACTCCATTTTGACCTCAGGATACACTTGACACTTGTATGTCGTAGCCTAGAGGAGACCAATATCTATCTATCTTGTGTTATTAAGCTATATAAAACAGCGTCTGTTGATGTGTATGGCTGCATTTCGGATACATTTTGTACATTTAAATGTGGCAGTAATAGGACCTAGGCCTAGCATGTTTAAATGTATTTTGATGGCAAGCCCTGATCCCAGTGACTCGACTGCCCCTGCATAGAGAGAAAGAGAACTGCTCTTTTTCAGGGACTCAGGGAATTCTCTGCGGAAAAAAATAAGTGATGAAGTTAAGATTCCGACATCTGTATCAGGAGAAATTTGCAGGCTTCAATCCCAAGTCGATGGGAAAGTATGTAACGTTACTATTTTCAACTGGAAGTTGATTATGTTCTATTAAAAGCATCTGGGTAGAAACTGAGATTGCGTCTGAATCTGAATGGCGTGTTTAGTGTCATATTTCCTTCAGGTATAGTTGAGTAGTTGTGCATGCGTTTTAGGCTCTGCTCTGACATTGTAATGTAATGTAATGTAGAACTTTCTGGGGCTATAGATGGCCAACCTACAGACTGCTGCTGATCAAATCGAAGGTTAATGGTTGCGTGCACAGTTTAGCAAATGTTATAGCGAGTGCTAGCTCCTAACAATGCAGTAAAATGTCAAACAAGTACACAAAAAAACATAAAACAACAAGAATATCAAGAAATGTCGGAGTGAATCCAATTACCAACCCATATAGCACTATAACAGTAATCCAAATGCAATCTATACATATCGTGCATTCGGAAACTCCTTGACTTTTTCCACATTTTGTTATGTTACAGCCTTATTATAAAATGGATTAAATTGTTTTATAATGACACAGCAAAAACAGGTTTTTAGAATTTTTTGCACATTTATAAAAAGTAAAGAACTGAAATATACATTTACGTAAGTATTCAGACCCTTTACTCAGTACTTTGTTGAAGCACCTTTGGCGGCGATTACAGCCTCAAGTCTGTATTTGGGGAGTTTCTCCCATTCTTTTCTGCAGATCCTCTCAACCTCTGTATTCAGACCCCTTGACTTTTTCCACATTTTGTTGTGTTACAGCCTGAAGTTAAAATGGATTCAATTGAGATTTTGTGTCACTGATTTACACAAAAATACCCCGTAATGTCGAAGTGGGATTTTGTTTATAGAAATCTTTCCAAATTAATTACAAATGAAAAGCTGAAATGTCTTGAGTTAATAAGTATTACACCTCTACATAATAAGTTGCATGGACCATGTTCAATAATAGTAGTTAACATGATTTTTGAATCACTACCTCATCTCTGTACCCCGCACATCTGTAAGGTCCCGTAATCGAGTAGTGAATTAAAGCACAGATTGAACCACAAAGACCAGGGAGGTTTTTCAATGCCTCGTAAAGAAGCGCACCGAAAACTTGGGGGCCAAATAAAACCGCAGCCGGTTGGGGAACCCTGCTTTAGTGCCTTATTGCAAACAGGATGCATGTTTTGGAATATTTGTATTCTGTACAGGCTTCTTTCTTTTCACTCTAACATTTATGTTAGTATTGTGGAGTAACTACAATGTTGTTGATCCATCCTCAGTTATTTCCTATCACAGCCATTAAACTCTGTAACTGTTTTAAAATTAACATTGGCCTCATGGTGAAATCCCAGAGTGGTTTCCTGCAACTGAGTTAGGAAGGGCGCCTGTATCTTTGTAGTGACTGGGTGTATTGATACACCTCCAAAGTGTAATTAATAACTTCACCATGCTCAAAGGGATATTTTTACCCATCTACCATTGGAAAATGTCCCTGGTCTTTGTGGTTGAATCTGTGCTTGAAATTCACTGCTCGACTGAGGGACCTTACAGATAATTGTATGTGTGTGGTACAGAGATGGGGTAGTCATATATAAAAATCATGTTATACACTATTATTGCACACAGAGGGAGTCCATGCAACTTATTATGTGACATGTCAAGCACATTTGTACTCCTGAACTTATTTAGGCTTGCCATAACAAAAGGGTTGAATACTTATTGACTCCAGACATTTCAGCTTTTCATTTTTAATTAATTTGAAAACATTTCTAAAAACATAATTCCACTTTGACATTATGGGGGTATTGTGTGTAGATCAGTGGCACATAATCTCAAATTAATCCATTTTAAATTCAGGCTTTAACACAACAAAATGTGGAAAAAGTCAAGGGGTGTGAATACTTTCTCAAGGCACTGTAGATATATTAGATTGAGCTATGTCAAGAATCCAGTATATAAATAAATATGCAGTGTGTATAAACAGTGTAACTAAAATGCAGTTTACAGTAGTAGAACTATTAGAATAAGCTATATTAAGAATACAGTATTTAAATACACAGTACAAACCCTATGGAAAAATGGATAGAATTGCAGGTAATTAGCTTCCCGACCAGAGTCTAGAATATAAATATATGTATTTGAATGGTGTGTATAGACAGTATTGACAGTATGTGAATAGAAAAAGTTTGTATAGCAGTAATATAGGATGAGCCATGACTAGAATACAGTATATACATATAAAGTGGGTAAAACAGTATGTAAACATTATTAAAGTTCATAAGACAGCAGTCTCTAAGGTGCAGGGTAGAGTACCGGGTGGTAACCGGCTAGTGACAGTGTCTAATGTTCAGGGCAGTGTACTGGGTGGAGGCTTGCTAGTGGTGACTATTTAACAGTCTGATGGCCTGGAAGCTGGTTATCAGTTTCTCGCTCCCAGCTTTGAGGCACCTGTACTGTCTCCGCCTGGGTGAACAGGCTGTGGCTCGGGTGGCCATGGTCCTTGATAGTCTTCTTGGCCTTCGTGACACCAGGTGCTGTAGATGTCCTGAAGGGCACACTGGGGAACTTGAAACTTTTTGACCCTCTCAACTGCGGCCCTGTCGATGTGGATGGGGGCGTTCTCTCTCTGCTGTCTCCTGTAGTCCACGATCAGCTCCTTAGTTTTGTTGACGTGAGGGAGAGGTTATTTTCCTGGCACCACTCCGCCAGGGCTTTCACCTCCTCCCTGTAGGCTGTCTTGTCATTGTTGGTAATAAGGCTTTCCACTGTTGTGTCATCAGCAAACTTGATGATTGAGTTGGAGACGTGCATGACTACGCAGTCATGGGTGAACAGGGAGTACAGGACGGTGCTACGCACTCCTGTGGGGCCCCCATGTTAAGGATCAGCGTAGCGTAGATGTTGTTGCCCACCTTCACCACCTGAGCTTGGCCCATCAGGAAGTCTAGGACCCAGTTGCGAGGGGGAGATGTGATTCACAGATTGCATAGTCTGTGAATCTGTTGGGGCGGTATGCAAATTGTAGTTGCGATATTGCGATATTCATTGTCCCCCACGATGAAACCGGGGAGGGGTCTTTGGATATATCTCCGTCCGTTCATTCGTACGTTAGTCACACACGATATCAGACAGCAGTGTCCTAATTTTGACGAAACTTGGGTGAATGATGCGTCTAGCCATAGAGATCCGGCATTTACAAAATTACACTGATTGGCCGAAGGCGGGAGCTATAGTAATTAACTGAAATGTGTTAGTCACACGCAATATCTCAATTGGCCCAAGTGGGGGGCGCTGCATCATTTGGGGGGGACAACATGTTTACTGTGGTCTTGTTTAGTTCAGTTACCCTTTATTGGGTATAGGAACAATGGTGGACATTTTGAAGCAAGTGGGGACAACAGACTGGGATAGGGAGAGATTGAATATGTCTGTAAACAAACCAGCCAGATGGTCTGCACATGCTCTGAGGACGCGGCTTGGGATGCGGGCCGGCAGCCTTGCGAAGGTTAACATGCTTAAATGTCTTACTCACGTCGGCCACGGAGATCGGGAGCACACAGTCATCGTGAGCGGCGGGGGCCCACGTTGTCGGCTCCTTGTTGTTTTCCTCGAAGCGGGCAAAGGTGTCCGGGAGCGAGGAGTCGGTGTCCGCGACATGGCTGGCTTTCCCTTAATAGTCTGATTGTCTGGACCTGCCACATGCGTCTCGTGTCTGAGCCGTTAAATTGCGACTCAACTTTGTCCCTGTACTGTTGTTTTGCCTCTTTGATTGCCTTGCCGTGGTTAAATGTGGTGGTTCGCGCTTTCAATTTTGCACGAATGCTGCCATCTAGCCATGGTTTTGGGTTTGGATAAGTTCTAATCATCACAGTAGGAACAACGTCCTCTATGCACTTCCTGATGAACCCAGTCACCGAGTGTGTATACGTCGATACTATTCCCAGAGGCGACTCAGAACATTTCCCAGTCCGCGTAATTCAAAATAATAGATTCCGATTGGTCAGACCAACGTTGAACAGTCCTTACCACGGGTGGTTCCTGCTTAAGTTTCTGCTTAGTGTTTGTGCGTGCATGTGTCTCACTAGTCGCTACCCATGAGCCACCCACCTCCCCCCACCCAGTCCCCATATCACCCCTCTATCCAGGAGAGAGAGCGAGCGAGAGAGAGATGGGAAGGGAAAGAGCGAGATATGGAAAAGGAGATGGAGGGATGGGATGGGGGTTGCCTGCAGCGCCTGTCTGGATGTAAACAATGCTCCTGAAGCGTCGGCAGAAACTGTCAGCTGCTCATCTTTGTTGTGTCATTTACTGTCTCCTCCGTTTGCTCCCCCCCTCCTCTCCCCCATCCACCTGACACCATCCCTCCGTCCCCCCCTCCATCTCTCCTCTGCGAAGAGGCAAATCAGTATTTTACATATCTGAATCTCTTCATCGCTCATCCCCCTCTTTCTCCATTCTGTGGGACTAATACTCAGACTGTTTGCATTTGCATCACACACACACACACCCTGACACACATGCGCACACACACACGCAAACGCACACACACTTCTACACTCATCATTTGCTGCTGCTACTCTTTATTTTACTCTTATTATTATCTATCCTGATGCCTAGTCACTTTACCCTGCCTTCATGTACATATCTACCTCAAATACCATGTACCTCTACACATTGACCTGGTACTGATACTCTCTGTATATAGCTCCATTCTTGTGTATTTTATTTTATTCCTCGTGTTACTTTTTTATTTTTTATAATTATTTTCGCATCGTTGGGAAGTGCTCGTAAGCAAGCATTTCACTATAATGTCTGCACCAGTTGTTTTCGGCGCATGTGACAAATAACATTTGATTTGATTTGACACACACCGTACACCGCCTGACGAGGACTCGCCGAGCCTAGCGCCACGCAACAGCAGCCAGGAAGTCGGCAGGTGGTTACCATAGCAACCTCGCACAGGCGCTTTCGCTCTTTATATATATCTACACTGCTCAAACAAATAAAGGGAACACTTAAACAACACATCCTAGATCTGAATGAATGAAATAATCTTATTAAATACTTTTTTCTTTACATAGCTGAATGTGCTGACAACAAAATCACACAAAAATTATCAATGGAAATCAAATGTATCAACCCATGGAGGTCTGGAAATGAAGTCACCCTCAAAATTAAAGTGGAAAACCACACTACAGGCTGATCCAACTTTGATGTAATGTCCTTAAAACAAGTCAAAATTAGGCTCAGTAGTGTGTGTGGCCTCCACGTGCCTGTATGACCTCCCTACAACGCCTGGGCATGCTCCTGATGAGGTGGCGGGTGGTCTCCTGAGGGATCTCCTCCCAGACCTGGACTAAAGCATCCGCCAACTCCTGGACAGTCTGTGGTTCAACGTGGCATTGGTGGATGGAGTGAGACTTGATGTCCCAGATGTGCTCAATTGGATTCAGGTCTGGAGAACGGGCGGGCTAGTCCATAGCATCAATGCCTTCCTCTTGCAGTAACTGCTGACACACTCCAGCCACATGAGGTCTAGCATTGTCTTGCATTAGGAGGAACCCAGGGCCAACCGCACCAGCATATGGTCTCACAAGGGGTCTGAGGATCTCATCTCGGTACCTAATGGCAGTCAGGCTACCTCTGGCGAGCACATGGAGGGCTGTGCGGCCCACCAACGAAATGCCACCCCACCCCACACCATGACTGACCCACCGCCAAACCGGTCATGCTGGAGGATGTTGCAGGCAGCAGAATGTTCTCAACGGCGTCTCCAGACTCTGTCACGTCTGTCACATGTGCTCAGTGTGAACCTGCTTTCATCTGTGAAGAGCACAGGGCGCCAGTGGCGAATTTGCCAATCTTGGTGTTCTCTGGCAAATGACAAACGTCCTGCACGGTGTTGGGCTGTAAGCATGTGGACGTCGGGCCCTCATACCACCCTCATGGAGTCTGTTTCTGACCGTTTGAGCAGACACATGCACATTTGTGGCCTGCTGGAGGTCACTTTGCAGGGCTCTGGCAGTGCTCCTCCTGCTCCTCCTTGCACAAAGGCGGAGGTAGCGGTCCTGCTGCTGGGTTGTTGCCCTCCTACGGCCTCCTCCACGTCTCCTGATGTACTGGCCTGTCTCCTGGTAGCGCCTCCATGCTCTGGACACTACGCTGACAGACACAGCAAACCTTCTTGCCACAGCTCGCATTGATGTGCCATCCTGGATGAGCTGCACTACCTGAGCCACTAGAGTGAAAGCACCGCCAGCATTCAAAAGTGACCAAAACATCAGCCAGGAAGCATAGGAACTGAGAAGTGGTCTGTGGTCACCACCTGCAGAACCACTTCTTTATTGGGGGTGTCTTGCTAATTGCCTATAATTTCCACCTGTTGTCTATTCCATTTGCACAACAGCATGTGAAATGTATTGTCAATCAGTGTTGCTTCCTAAGTGGCCGGTTTGATTTCACAGAAGTGTGATTGACTTGGAGTTACATTGTGTTGTTTGTGTTCCCTTTATTTTTTTGAGCAGTGTATATATATATTTTTTTTTATGATGGCGGTCTCTTTTCCACCTCTGAACCGTCTATCTGCTACAATCAGCCGCTCCACTCGGCTTCAAGTGTAAAGGCTGTCTCCGGGACAGTGTGTGTGTGTCTCTTTATGTAATACACGTGCATGTGTCTCTGCCTGATTGTGGGGATGTGTGAGCAACGTGTGTGTGTGTCTCTCTCAGGTTGGCTCAGGTTGGCTGAAAGTATATTCACAAGGCCGTGGTGCAATTAACACACTATTACCACCCCCTGCTGTATTTAGTTACAGCACCTGTAGTCTGTTAGCTGCTATTGGAATGGGAAGAGGGTGACAATGAGAGATTTGTGTTTCTGTCATTAGATTTGTTCATTTGTCTGGAATGTTCTTTTAACACGAGAAACTTTGTGCTTTGTCTCAGGATACTGTCTAATAGCTGATATCTCTCTGTCTTCCTCTCTCTGTTTTCTGTCTCCATCTCTCTCTCTCCCTGTCTCTGTCCCTCTCTTTCCCCTCCTCTCTCCCTCTTCTTCCTCTCTCCATCTAGCTGAGGAAGGTGGTAGATATGTGTATTAACCCCGACCCAGAGAAGAGGCCGGACATCATGTATGTGTATGACGTCGCCAAACACATGCACGGCCAGATGCAGCAGGGCAGCTAAGTCTACACCTGAGGATACACTACGACCCGCATCTCTTCCTCTCCTCCCTCCTCCTCTCATCCCTCGCTTCCACATAAGGACAGGCAGACACCTGGTCATCTTGTCTTTCACACAATCATGTATTGAGAGGTTCTGCTCAGAGATCTCTGTAATGTAAATGTTGTTTTTGTTTAAGAGAAGGGGGTTATTTACAGTGCATTCGGAAAGTAGTCGGACCCTTTCACTTTTTACAAATTCTGTTACGTTACAGCCTTATTCAAAAGTGGATTAAATTGTTTTATTTCCCCTCATCAATCTACACACAATACCCCATAATGACAAAGCAAAAAGAGGTTTGTAGAAATTTTTGCAAAAACATAAAAAATAAAACGGAAATATTACATTTATGTAAATATTCAGACCCTTTACTCAGTGATTACAGCCTTAAGTCTTCTTGGGTATGACGCTACATGCTTGGCACACCTGTATTTGGGGAGTTTCTCCCATTCTTCTCCCATTCAAGCTCCGTCGCTGCACAGCTATTTTCAGGTCTCTCCAGAGATGTTCGATCGGGTTCAAGTCCGAGCTCTGGCTGGTGCCTGGTTTCCTCCAGACGTTCAATCTTGGTTTCATCAGACCAGAGAATCTTGTTTCTCATGGTCTGAGTCCTTTAGGTGTCTTTTGGCAAACTCCAAGTGGGCTGTCATGTGCCTTTTACTGAGGAGTGGCTTCCGTCTGGCCACTCTACCATAAAGGCCTGATTGGTGGAGTGCTGCAGAGATGGTTGTCCTTCTGGAAGGTTCTCCCATTTCCACAGAGGAACTCTGGAGCTCTGTCAGAGTGACCATTGGGTTCTTGGTCACCTCCCTGACCAAGGCCCTTCTATCCCGATTGCTCATTTTGGCCGGGCGGCCTGCTCTTGGAAGAGTCTTGGTGGTTCCAAACATCTTTCATTTAAGAATGATGGAGGCCACTGTGTTCTTGGGGACCTTCAGTGCTGCAGAAATGGGTTGGTACCCTTCCCCAGATCTGTGCCTCGACACAATCCTTTCTCGGAGCTCTACGGACAACTCCTTTGACCTCATGGCTAGGTTTTAGCCTTTAACCTTATATAGACAGGTGTGTGCCTTTCCAAATCATGTCCAATCAAGTTGTGGAAACATCTCTAGGATGATCAATGGAAACAGGATGAACCTGAGCCAGTGGCGATTTTAGCATGTCAATCTTGGTGGGGCAAACAATTTTTTTGTAGGGGGTATGCATGCCAGCAAAGCCACAACACTAAACAATATATTAATTGCTCTATAACGGTGACAAATGGTGCCCACACACCATTGTCAGGGCCTACATAAAGCTGTTCCAACAGCAGAGACCCAACAGCAGTCCCAACACCTTACCACTAATACACCTGGCTATCAGCAGAGCCTTGTCTGGCAGCGAAACAGTTCATTCAGCCTCATTTTCTGCCTTTAAAAAAAACATAGCTGATATGGCTGACTTGCTTAAACAAATGTGGTTTTTACTTTCAATTGAGATGTACAAACTATGGCATAAGGGGACGACAAGCGGATAAGAGGCAATCCGTAATTTCGATTAAGACATTCATGAGCGAGCTAGGACGGACGTAGTCAATATAACTATTTTTTCAGCACTTTTGAAATGTACAGCGACAGAATTCAGAACATGGGCCGTTCTTACAGTGTTCTCCCTGTACACCAAGTCAGAACCGTAGGATAAATGAAGGGGGCATATAAGCAGGCAATGAAAGCTCTTACAATATTCGATGATTACATTTCTCTAAAACAGGTTATAGGCTACATGTGCACCACCAAGTCAGAACAGTAGGTGAAATTAAAATTGGAAAGTTTACCAAATTATTAGGTTGTTGCACATGGGCTACTAACAGCTTACTACACAACATACACTTAGTATTACTTTCTTAGCTACAGGTTACATATCTCCCTGGCATATTACATCATTTATGCAGAAGCATACGATACATTTTTGGACTCACCTTGTTGTGCTGTGCTCACTTGAACAGGAATGTGGCGCGGTGGTCCTTCGTGGGAAAATCAAACTTTGTCATCAAAGTCTGGCAT